CCCATGCTGCACAGACTCTTCCGGAAAACTGAAGAGGATGGAGAGTTCCCGACAGGTCCCAGGAGGCCAGCACCACCCCACAGCAAGAGCACAGGAAGCGGCCACCAGGACAGAACAGGCAGACGGCACTTTAGGACGCTGTCACTCGGAGCCACGCTCAAGCTTCACTGCCATTGTTGTCAGTATTGTGGCCTCGTTCTTCTTCGAACCTCATGTGAAATCGTCCTTTGACTTTACACATGAGCGTCCGTTTCCTCGCTTGGGTTTCTTTCTCACGTCACAGACCTTCCTTTATGGAGTACACCCTTCAGATCGTGCTGCCGCTAAGATCCCTCCAGGTTTGTCCAGATAAAACATCTTCATTTCACCTTCATTCCGGAGGCCATCACCACACAGACGGGGGGCCTCCTCCAGTCCCTTCAGGGGCTCTTCCTGTGTCGCTGTCGGGGGCGGTCATTCCGTGCGGGGTGGTCTCTCTTCTCGCGGCTGAATTTAAGGTGTTCTTGTTGCCAGTCGTGCAGCCCCTTCCCTCTCTGCTTTGGTGTGTAATGCACTGTGTCCCCACGTCCTCCGTCACCAGCAGGAAGTCAGCCGTTTTCTCTCCAACGGTGCCTCCTCCATGGTTGCCCCCTCTCCTGCATCGTGCTCCATTCCTGTCTCTTAATCTCTTCTCGGTTCCAGTCTCCTTGCTTCTCTGTGCTGAAGTCTGTAGTTTTTTCAGATACACCATTTTCCATATTACTAATTTTCTCTGCTTTGGTACTTACTTCATCTCACTGGATTTTTATCATTCGTTATTCAATCACATACATCTAATTCCAGACATTCCACTGGACTCCGAGTCCTCCTGGTCTATTTTAATAGTCCTGCCCTTTGTCTTCCCTTCCCTTCCCACTCTTGTTGTTAGATTTATAAAAACAAATTTGTGCTGTGCTATGAACCATTTCCAATAGCTACAGAGTCTGTGTCTGATCCCGCTGTTTTATTTCTGCCTCCTCCCATCATGGTGCTTGTTCCCTTGTGTGTTTGGAGGTTTCTGGCTGTGTGCTCATATTTGATTAAACTTGACCTCTAGGAACGCTGAGACCTAAAATGTCGATGGTTCCTTCCAGGAAGAATTAGACCTTGGTCGTATCCCAAGACCCTGGGCTCTGTGGACACGAGGCGCCCTGAGATCTCTCGAGGGCCCCTGCTACACGGGGCTGGGGCAGGAGAGCCCAGGTGATGTGGATTTCTGAAGCCAGAGTAAGAAGTCTGGACTTTATTCTAAGGGGCAATGAGAAGGCGTTAGTGGGTATAGCAGGATGTGACAGGCTCTTGCTTGTGCTTTTCAAAGGTCATTCCAGATGCTCCCTGCAGACTGTGGCTGGCAAGAATGAAGGAGCTAGAAGCCTGTTGCAATAACGCCAGAGATGACAACGGCTACATATGGCAGGTACCAGAAAGAGAGGAATTGGGTGGTCTCCTGGAACTGTGGCTTCCTCTTTCTTTTGTCTTAAGCAGTGACCAGGCTGTGTCTGAAGGAAGTTCAGTTCAGTCCCTTCTTCTGTGAAACTGCTGAAGCTCTCTGCTCAGGAAGACTCAGAAACCCTGGCTCCGTGGTCATTCCCTCTTTTCTCTCCCATCTTCCCTGCTCTTCCGAGGGAGCAGAGCCGCTGGCTCACCGATTTGCCCAGCACTGAGTTTCTCTGACGCTGGTGAGGCCCCCTCTTCTGAAGGGCTTCACGGGGGTGCCCTCCCGTGCCCTGAGCTGGGGGCCAGGCCGGGCGGGGCTGGGACGGGCTGTTCACAGAGGGAGCGGTCAAAGGACTTAATTCTGTCAGTAAATTCCACCTTTCCGCATCCCAGTGGATCACTTTATCTCACTCCTTTCTTAAATTTCATCGACTGACCTTCAAGAGTGCAGAAGCCCAGGGGTGTACAGCCAGACCGAGCCGTCTCCAAGGTGCGGGGACTGAGGACCCACATGCGGAGGGATTTGAGCCCTGAGCGCTTTTTATTAGTTTTCCTAAGGTGGTTTAAGGCACAAGAGAAGGTACACAAAGGCCTGGAAGTAGGTCAGGATGGATCAGCATGGCAAAGCCGCCAAGGGCAGGAGGTAAAGGCCTCGCCTGCTAAGACAGGGAAAGCATGGTGGTCTTCCCTGCGAGCTGCCAGACCCAGGGAGGCTCTGGTGTCTGAGCTCGGTGTTGACACAGGACCCTGATGACCGGCAGGGCCATGTCCCCAGAGCGTCCCCCCCCCACCTCCTGGCTGTGCTGCATCTCCCCAACACCAACAGGGTGCACTGGGGGACACTGGCCTTGGACTCAGAGAGTCTCAGCTCTGCCCCAAACTATCGGGATTTTCAGAAGCCACCATCTCTGAGCCTGTGACAACGGACGATGACACTTGTCCACCTGCTTCCCAGGGTTGCTCAGTGATGATGAGCTCGTGTGCACGAAATCCCTGTGGGGGTCGTAAGGCTCAGGCTCTATATAACTGGAGACCATTGTTCCTAGTCGTTTATATTTTCCACTAAGACAAACAAATGTTCCAGGAACCCCTTCAGGAATGACAAAACAGAGGCATAAACAACCACTGCTTCATTGTGCTCAGCGAGACCCACAGAACCAGGAGAGGAAAGAAAACGGGGGTTGACTTGAGACCCCAGGTTGGGGTGACGAATGCAGCTGGAGCCACAGGTCCCTTAGATTCAGAGGACCTGGGAGACAGAGCATGGACGCCGAGGGTCTGCAGGGCAGCTGCCCCGCTGTGGGACGTGGCCTCGGTGTCATCTGCTCCATCCCCTTCCCAATGGCACTACACAGAGGCCCAGCCCCTCCGCCTGCCCCTCCGTGCTCTCCAGAAAACCCTTCCTGAACCCAGGTCCCTAACCCTGCCGCACAGCTTTCTCTCCCCTCCCCACTCCGTGTCTAGTTGGAACAACAGTGCTTCCTACAAATGGGCGCCTGCAGTCCAGCGGGGGCCTCCCGACTGCCTTCCCCAGGTGAGCCCCATTGTCCACGTCCTGCCCACACTGTTGGAAATCTCTTCAAGTCGGTCCCCTCGTTTGTCACTGAGCCCCTGCCACACACGGGGGCCCTTCCTACTCCTTCAGTGACTAATGAGCATCAGGACAACTTCGTTTGGAAAGGCTGGTGTGAGGTGTGAAGCCCCCCATTGCCTTCCAGAAGACCTAGAAGGGGATTTGGTTGTTGTATTGATCCGAAGCCAACAAGATAATGCTTTTCTTGGAACATTTTTCATGTTTTATGCTGCAGGGATTTAAGACTATCACCAGCTTCTCAAAGACAGAATGACCATGCACGTGACACTGGAGGGGGCATCTGGGGGTGGACAGTTTCCATTCAGGCTATATATTGACACACTCTTCATCACTCGTGTGGTTTTCTGCCTCAGTTTCTCTATTCGTTTATTTTAATTGTTTTCTGTGCTGGTTTCTCCGGGTGAACCAGAGGAACTCCATTGTTGGAAAAGAGCAAATTTCCCAGAAGCAGCCCCAAATCCTCGGGTGGCAGAATGAGCAGTTCTCAGACGTGGCCCTGGGGCCTTGCCAGTGCTCGCTGGACGTACTTCTGTCTGGACCAGCAGCCCTGACCACAAGTCCACGCAGCCGGCAGACCCTAAGCAAGCAGACGAGTGTGAGACACGTCTGTCCAGGGCGGGAGAGTGGAGCCTGTCTACACGCCACACTGGGATGCTATTTCCTGACCAGGTGTCTCACCCCACAGAGGGCTGACATTTGTTCAGCCTGTTCCCTGTTGCCACAAGCCTCCCGAAACCCAGGAGTTTCCCCACTTCCCAGCGACTCACTCTTGAAGGTCCTGCAGTGTCTGGTCCGGGTGGAATCTCATTTGAGTGCCTCCTCTAAGCTGTCCTGTTCATGTGACCAGCCCTTGTCCAAACTGCCCTCCTGGGTCTGGAGACGGGTGACTGGAGGGCAGCGTCTCCATTAGTGAGCTGGAAGGCGGGGGCTTCTGGCTCTGCCTGGGGCCCAGCAAGCCTGTAGGTGGGCCCCCCGACCTGTCTAGTCTCCTCTTCCTCCCGGTGCGTGGGACAGCAGGTGGTTCTGGGGGCTCCAGCTATGAAGGCGGCTGTGGGCAGGTGGTGACACACTGGGAGCCCATGGCTCCATTGTCTCTCCTACCTTTGGTGGATGACCTCGTGGTCACTGATGATTAGGGAAGTGATTTGGGATTTTTTTGTGGTTGGGACCACAACAGAAGCCTAAGAACCCGCAAAGAGAAACTATAGCCTGGGGTCAAGGAGACCAAGTCATCAGGGGAAGTACTCCCGCTGACCACTTCCCACTGAGCACTGACCGCTGTACATGTGGCAAGGCCTACCCACTGCACAGTGACCACTGACCACTGACTGCTGCTCATTGACTGCTGGCCACTGCCCACTCAGGAGGAGCTCAAGAAGCAGCACCTCGTGCCTGTCGAGGATGCACTGGTGCCCTGGGTTCCTGCACACATGGAGCAGTGGCGTCCATGCTCTCCTCTGTACCTCGTTATACATTCACTGCCCTGCTCCTTCCAAACCCCTCTGAGCCAGGGTCACAGCCCACATGAGAAGGTGACAAACCAGAAGGACCCTCTGCTCAGGGGACGCAAAGTGCACCAGGTGCCCCGGGGACCGACGTGATGGTTCCCTGCCTCGGGAAACCCCAGATCCTGTCAGTTGTAGGACCCTCGCGGCGACCCCTGCCCCCTGGGAGGGGTGGGGAGGCTGCCCAGGTGCAGCTGCGCAGTCGGAGCACACCTAGTCCTCGATGACACCTGGGAGCTGAGATCCGCAGGCCGCAGGGAGGGCAAAGGCCGCACACCTGCCGCCCGCTCTCCCGCCCCTCAGGACTCCCGCGACCCCGCCCCCGAGCGCTGGGGGGCCCTGCCCCTTCCTCCCTCCAGCCCCGCCCCCTTCGCGCGGACCCCGCCGTGCCCGCCCCTTCCTCCGCGCGGACCCGCCCCGCCCCCGCCCCTCCCTCTGCTGCACACCGCCCTCAGGTGGATGCAACGTGAGCCGCCGAGTGTCCCAGCACGTGGGAGTCCGGGCCCCCGCCCTCCCCGGCGATGCCGCGCGCGCCCCGGTGCCGAGCTGTGCGCGCCCTGCTGCGGGGCCGCTACCGCGAGGTGCTCCCGCTGGCGACTTTCCTGCGGCGCCTGGGGCCCGAGGGCCGGCGGCTCGTGCAGCGCGGGGACCCGGCGGCCTTCCGCGCGCTGGTGGCCCAGTGCCTGGTGTGCGTGCCCTGGGACGCGCAGCCGCCCCCCGCCGCCCCGTCCTTCCGCCAGGTGGGCTGCCCCGGGGGACCCGGGTCGGGCGTGCTGGGGAGGGAGGGGGGGCGGGCCGTGGGGAATGCAGCGGGACTCAGGCTTAGCGCCTCGGGCTCCCGGGCACCTCCGTCCCCGGCGACTTAGACCACTCCCTCCCGCAGGTGTCCTGCCTGAAGGAGCTGGTGGCTAGGGTCGTGCAGAGGCTTTGCGAGCGCGGCGCGAGGAACGTCCTGTCCTTCGGCTTCGCGCTGCTGGACGGAGCCCGCGGTGGGCCGCCCGTGGCCTTCACGACCAACGTGCGCAGCTACTTGCCCAACACCGTGACCGAGACGCTGCGCGGCAGCGGCGCGTGGGGGCTGCTTCTGCGCCGCGTGGGAGACGACGTGCTCACCCACCTGCTGGCACGCTGCTCACTCTACCTGCTGGTGGCCCCGAGCTGCGCCTACCAGGTGTGCGGGCCGCCGCTCTATGACCTCTGCACCACCGCCGCGGCTCGGCCTGTCGCGTACCCCGGCCACCGGCCCACACGACACGCAGGCGGGACCCAGACAGGCCTCGGACCCACGCGCCAGGTCTGGAACGGCGGCGATGGGAAGGCTGGAGGACCCCTAGGCCTGCCAAGCCGGGGCGTGAGGCGGCGTCGGGCCAGCACTGGGGGAAGTCCACCTCCTGCCAAGAGGCCCAGGCGCGGCCTGGCTGGGGAACCGGAGCAGGGACCTGACGGGCAGGTGACCCGGGCGCACCTGGGCAGGGCGCATGGGCCGAGCGACAGTGATCCCCACGCCGTGACGCCTAGCAGAGCCGCCGCGGAAGCCCCATCTTGGCAGAGCGAGCTGCGTAGGACTAGGCTCGCCTTCCCGCCTCTGGGCCGAGAGCGCGAGGCCAGCTCCCCACCCACGTGGCAGTCGCCTCGGCCTCAGGGTGTGCCCCGTCCCCGAGTGTACGCAGAGACCAAGCACTTCCTCTACTGCTCGGGTGGCAAGGAACGGCTGCGCCCCTCCTTCCTGCTCAGCTCTCTGCAGCCCAGCCTGGCGGGGGCACGGAGACTCGTGGAGACCATCTTTCTGGGCTCGGATACCGGGCGGCCGGGGGCTCCCCGCAGGACGCGCCGCCTGCCCACGCGCTACTGGCGGATGAGGCCCCTGTTCCGAGAGCTGCTCGCCAACCATGCGCGGTGCCCCTATGGCGCGCTTCTCCGGAAGCACTGCCCACTGCGCAGTGCGGCCACCCCAGGGGTGCCTGGCGACCCGGGGCGCGGTGGAGTGGGCAGCTGCACCCGGGAGAGGCCAGCGGCGGCCCCCGAGGAGGACGCGGGCCCGCGGCACCTGGTCCAGCTGCTCCGCCAGCACAGCAGCCCGTGGCAGGTGTACGCGTTCCTGCGGGCCTGTCTCCGCCGGCTGGTGCCCGGGGCCCTCTGGGGCTCCAGGCACAACGAGCGCCGCTTCCTGAGGAATGTGAAGAAGTTCATCTCTCTGGGAAAGCACGCCAAGCTCTCGCTGCAGGAGCTGGCGTGGAAGATGAGAGTAGGCGACTGCGCCTGGCTAGGGAGCCCAGGTGAGGCGACCCGGAGGAGGGGGCCCTGCAGCCCGTCCTGACTGGGAACCAGTAGGACCCCTCCTTGCCTACCCCCTGGAGGCTGTCCGCTGGCTCGTCTGGTCCTCTGCCTCTCACCCCTCTCCCATCCAGTTTACATAACCCTACAAGACCCACATGTAAACCTACAAGACGCGCATGGACTCAGGTGGGTTCTGGCTCTGGGGGGCAGACCAGCGAGAAGATGGGGCACCCGTGGAGCAGGGCTCTGGTAGCAGACAGAAGTATCTGGAAATTCTCGTGAGTGTGCCCACAGGCTATTCATGATCCCTTTTTGACTTCAAGGTTTGTCACCTTGAAATGGTGCCCTGCTGATAGAAATGGGGGGTGGGAGAGGAGGCTGCTCAGCCAGCATGCCGATCCGAATTTAAGTTTTAATGGTGTGTCTACTGTCAGGGCGGGGCAGACTGAGGAGGATGGGACTGTCTCCTGAGCAAGGACCCAGCCTGTCTTCAGGAACCAGAGGGTCACCAGGGAGAGGGGAGCAGCGGGGTGTTCTCCGTTTCAGGGAGGTGGACCAGCACTGTGGGTGCTGCCAGGAAGTTTCCCGTGAACTGGGCCGGCAGTGCCCCCCCCTTTTGGTTTTTTGGGTTTGATGTTGAGGTTCCTCCTGTCCAGCCACCACGCAGCCCACTCTCGGCCAGCGCCCTCCCGGCCAGCACACTAGCGCCAGGAGTGGACAGGACCCGCTACCCTCCCCCCTCTCCCCGATGGTGGAGCGGTGGGCACAACGGGCCCCGGTGTTTCCCACTTGACCTCCCCCAGACTCCCAGGACACTTAGGGCTGCTGGGAGGAAGACGGCGGCAGAGCATCCACCAGAGCCGCGGGTGCCCCTGGGCTGCGCAGTATAGTCTCCCGGGGTGGGGCTTTGAAAGTGCCCGGCCCATCCCCAAAGATCTCCATTGCCATGGCCTCTAGTGGGGGCAAAGGGCACGCCCTTCTAGCTCCCCGAGACGCTCTGGGGCCAGGTGGTGCAGTCAGGGTGACCTTCCAGCGACTTGTTTTTTTCTTAATTGTGGGGGAAAACACATAAGATCTACCCTCGTAACAAACATTTGCATTTGAGACTGGACGGTGTTGCTAAGTGTAAGCATGCTGTGGTGCCGCAGGCCTCCACACCCTTTTCATCTGGCACGACCTAGATGCCATTGGCCAGCACTGCCCTGTCACGTGCGACGACTCGGGTGAGCCTGGAAGATGCCAGGCTCAAAGAAGCTGTCACGTGACTCATTTGTCTCTTGGGGCTCGAGTTTGCTTTGTGAGAGGAGAGTTTGAGTTCTGTGATTCTGTTCTCCGATTTCAGACGAGCTCTGCCGTGCCCCTGTGTCCTGCGGGCACAGGGAGGTGGTGTTTCCCAGGTGACTGGGACCCAGCCCCTGGACCACCCTGTGGCTTTGCTCAAGTGAGGCTCCTGCTCCTTTCCGTGGCTGTGGCCTCGGCTGTTGCCCACTGGCCGAATAAATGATGCACAGCACGGCCTTGGCCTCTGAGCTGCCTTTCCCAGTCACGGCTCTCTGGTCACCTTCCATCCTCTTCATCCTCTCCTTCCATCCTCTCCTGCTGGGCCCCCTTCCTCTGTGCAGGCCATCTGCCCTGCCAGCACTCCATCCACGGCCCCCGGGCTTGTTTGCCTCTGTTGAACCAGCCTTGACCATTGTCCTGTCTGCTTGCTGCCCGTTGACTCCCGTCGGCTCCCTAGTCCTCAGCCCTGGAGGCCAGACTGCTCCCAAGTGTTGCTAGAGACATCGCAGAAAGGATTCCTGATGGAAACTCAGGATGTGCATCAGCCCCCCCTCTCTGCCTCTCCCCAGGGCCACCATTGGGCTCATCGCCACCCTCGTTCTCTTCACCTGGGCCCAGATCAGGCTGTGCTCTTCCTCCAGTGGCCCCATCTCATCAACTCACACCCCACACATGATCACTCTCCCTAAACTGCAGTCGGGGTCTGGCCCTCCTGCTGAGGGCCCGTTGACCCCAGAGTGGAGCTGCGATGTCTAAGGGGCCTTGTTGGACCTCTCGTAGGCCTTTGTCTGAATGTCACTAAGTCCTCTCTGAGGGTGACATCCTTCCTTCTGTTTTTTTCCGTGTCACTGGGTCATCCCTCTCCTAACTTCTCTGGTGGGTGGCTATGCATTTCCCTCTCTGTACTGCCTTAGCTGCACCCTACCTTGGGATGTGTCACTGTGCATTTTGATATCAATCACTTTTAAGTGTTTCCTCGTTTCTGCTGTGATTTCTTCTTTGATCGTGAATTATTCAGACGTGCATTTTTTACTGTGCAGATGTATAGGTATTTTGAACGATCTTTTTGTTGCTGAATTCCAGCTCAGTTGTGTGGTGTGGTCTGTGTGATCCCAGTTGTTTGAAGCTGTGGAGACTTGTTTTTTAATCTGGTGTGTGGACAGTTTCCGTCAACATGCCTTGTGTGTTTGGCAGCCTGTGGCTGGTTGCTGTGTTCACCACATCCAGCTTATTAAGGTTCCGAAACACGGAGCAGGGGCGCGGTCTCACTCAGCCTGGGTCTGTCCATTTCTTCTCATTCTGGCAGGATTTACGTTGGGCTTTATTAGGCGCCTGCGCCTTTTAGGCTTTTTATCCTCCTGGTGAATGTCTGGTAATTCTTTCCACCTTCGAGTCTGTTTCGGTGCTTGTGGAGCTGCCGCACTGGCTTCCTTTTGGTCCGTATTTGCTTCTCGTATGTTTTATTGTCCTCTAGTTTTTATTTCCGACCTCTTTTGGGGCATCTTATTAACAGCACGCAGCTGACATTTTAAACGTTTTTCTATCCAGTCTGGCAGTCTTTGCCCCTGACCTGGAGAATCTGACTTGTTTTCATTTTCCCATGATTACAGACATGTCTGGATGCCCATCTTCTATCTTTCTTCCCAGTTTGTCTGCTTTTCCGTGTTCCTTGTTTCCTGATGCTGGTGCGCTCTCTCCCCCTGTGTCCTCGTGCTGGTTTTCCCTGCCGGCAGATAGAAATTGCCTGCTCTGCGTCCCCCTTGGGGGCTAGCTTCTCCCCAGCAGCACAGGGGCCTTGCTCTGCGCGTGTCAGTCTGATCCCCACCCCCTCCGCTCTTCCCACTCACCTTGCTCTGTCCACCTTTGACACCCTGTTTCCGTGTCCTGTGGTCAGTGTTCGTTAGCTGTACCCCTTTCTCTTTCTTTGTTCACAGTCTGTCTCCTCTCCCACACCTGCCTCTGGATCGCCTTTCTTCTCCTTTGCACGTTTTTTTCATGTCAATTATTGGTGGTAAAGCCCCTGGCTGCATCTGTGCCGTGGCCCCCGTGGCAGCCTGGTGACCCCTGTGGTCCTCCTCTAATGACATTTCCAAGTGCATAGACTAAAATCAGAGCACCACAAAGGAGGACAGCCATCCCGGCCCGCAGTGCGTGTCGGGGCCCCTCAGTGCATGTCAGAGCCCCCGTGACGCATGGCATCCCTAAACTGGTGTGCGACCACCTCTGCTCGCCTGCGTTGTTCAGCCTAGAAACCCCCGGGTGCTTCTGGACCTTGCTGCTCAGTGACGATGCCTGAAATTGTACAGATCAGCACATGACTGTGTGTCACACATGTGGAGAGCACGTCTCTGCCCTCCATTCTGCTTGTCAACCAGGACAAATGATGACACCCCATGTCGTTACTGTCCAGTAGCAATAGAATGTGAGCCACACGTATAACTTAAAATTTTGAAATAACTTTAAAATTTTAGCCACCTCAAAAAAGTAAAAAAACCCACAACTGAAAATATACAACTATGTACCGGGGGGCTTTGGGGAGAAAAGGAAAAATAAAAAATCTTAAAAAAAAAAAAAGGAAAAGGTCAGACTAATTTAAAAACTTATTTCATTAAAGCCAAATATGTCCAAAATGTTATCACTTTAGCACATAATCAGGAGAAGCACCGTTGACGGGATGCTCCATGTTCTTCTGCCCGCGTCTCAGGGACCTGGTGGTGGGTGGCGAGGACAGTGCGTCTCAGGCGGACCTGCCCCATTTCGGGCGGCCGTGGCTGCGTGAGGGACGGTGCAGGTGTGCGAGGCTCGCTAGGCCCCGGGAGACGTGGGCTCCATGCCCTTCTCATTTCAGAGGCTCGCTGCGTCCCGGCCGCGGAGCACCGGCTCAGAGAGGCGGTCCTGGCCAAGTTCCTGTGCTGGCTGATGGGCACACACGTGGTGGAGCTGCTCAGGTCATTTTTCTATGTCACGGAGACCACGTTTCAGAAGAACCGCCTCTTCTTCTACCGCAAGAGCATCTGGAGCCAGCTGCAGAGCATTGGGATCAGGTACCACGGCCCGAGAGCCCCCGCTGTCTCCGCTTGTCGGAGCAGACGCCCGCCGTGACTCCTGCTACTGGCTCCCCGGGCCCCTCCACGTGGGTCTGTCACCCCAGATACTCCGCGGGGCCATGCGTTGCTAGGGGCTGGGAGCCGGGGGACCCTATCATGGTTCTGGCCCACAGAGGTCCCACACTAGGCACAGACTCTGAAGCCCCCTTCTCTTACCCCTGGGGTCTCGAAAGTGGAAGAAGTTGATGCCGAGTGGAAACAGCAGTGCTGGGAGACCTTCCTTCCCGGCACGTGGGTCAGATCCTGTCTAATTCACACAGGGTGATGAGACTTGTGTCCTGTTACTGTGGGATGTGTCAGGACAGAGACTCCTGCTGTGAAACAGGCCCTGAGGCGGGGACTTCCGAGAGTTGAATTGCCTCTGCGTGGATTTGTCTCAGTTGCTCAGTGGCTGTTTTATGTCCATTTCCAAGGATTCGGGTCAAAGCCGTGCCCGAGTCAGGACGCCTGCGGAGGGAGGCGGGGCGCGGAGCCAGGTGGCGCTGGGGCCCATGTCCTGCGTCTGGGTGAGGGTCTGAGGCCTTTATCCTGGCTCTGAGTTAATACACACACATCCTATTTAATGATTTAAATCCTCCATGGTGTGTGATCTGGAGTGGCCATTCGGACATTCCTCAGAGGGACCGTGGAAACCATCCCTCTGCCCCGTGGGCGTTCATGTCCCGTGAGGGGCCGTGTTCTCGGACGGCCTTCTCTGCTGGGGCCGCCAGCCCAGGGAGCGTCCTCGGCCCGGCGGCAGCCAGCCCCTCCCTGTGGGTGGTTTCAGGGGACAGGCCAACAGGGAGCTGGCGGGTCCCCAGGGAGAAGATTCTGTTTCTTGGCTGTGGCCACACCGACCAGCCTCCTGCACGTTTCACCTGGAGGAACATGGGGTCTTTCTGCCCAGGGGTCCGTCCAGTCCCAGCCTGCACTGCCTGGGGCTCTGCACCCAAGGGAACCGGGTGTCCTGGGCACTTGCCGTGGAGGGTGCCCCAGCAGCGTCTGTGCACATGTCGGCATGGCTGTGGCGTCCCAGACGCCAGGCTCTGCCGACTTCCCAGGGACTGGTGTCCTCTGTCAGGCCTGGCTGCTGGCTCTTGCGGGGCCTCTGGGCCGCGTCCCACGAGGTCCTCTGTTGCAGACAACACTTTGAGAGGGTGCAGCTTCGAGAGCTGTCGGACGCCGAATTCAGGCGACATCAGGAAGCCAGGCCCGCTCTGCTCACGTCCAAACTCCGCTTCGTCCCCAAGCCCAACGGACTGCGGCCGATCGTGAACATGGACTATGTCGTGGGAGCCAGAACATTCCGCAGAGACAAGAAGGTCACAGCTTTTGTTTCACTTTTAAACAAAGTGCATTTAAACCCCAGGCTTGGTGTGGATGGAGACGGGCAACCCGGAGGAGAGCTGGCGGCCACAGCAAGGCCAGAGCCGGTGGCCTCTTGGGCTGTGGGAGGGTGGTGTGTGTGGACGGGGCCGTGTTCCCGGGTCCAGAGAAGGAGCTCATAGGAAACCCAGTCATAGATGCTGCTGGTCGGGCTCTGAGAACCCACAGGGTTCTCGTGACGTGGCCCGTGACTCATGGGACCCACATGGTGCCCGTGGTCCTTTGTAGTACCAGGGGGCTGTGTGCTCTCTCAGAGCCGGGACAGAAAGATTCAGGCTGTTGAGCTGTCACTAGCCAGCCAGGGTTCCAAGGAACCCCCCAGGACCTCACCCCCGTGGGTAGCCCCCCATGGCTCCTTCCACCCCCCCACCACTGCATCTCTGTGTCCCGGCAGCTCTGACCCTTCCGAGTGCCTCCCTGTAGTGTTTGGGGCGATTTTCTCACTAGCGATGCCCCCAAATGAGAAAGTGAAACTGTTGATGTCGGTTGGGGAAGTAGTTTGGTCTTGAGTGAAGGTGAACTCCTCGTCTGTGGTGGGTGGTTCCCCAGGAGGCAGGTCCCTCCCCGTCTGTGGCTAGGGGCTGGGTGAAGAGACATGGTCACACGTGTGGCTAGTTGTAATTTTTCCTATAGGGTTTCTGGGATCCCACGGTGGGTCCCTGGGGAAACCCCGGGGTCTGGGATGGCCATTCTGCCTCTTCCAGAGTCTGAGGGAGGCCAGGTGGGCATGGGGAGGCCTCGGGGGCAGGCGCAGAGGTGGGGAGCTGCCTCTCGTCCCTGAGGGTGCCATAGGTGGGGTGGTCCCCCTTTGGGCTGTGGGATGCTCTGACGATGCTGCTCCATCCTGCGCTGGCCCCTGCAGGCCCAGCAGCTCACCTCGAAAGTCAAGACGCTGTTCGGCGTGCTGAACTACGAGCGGGCACGCCGCCCCGGCCTCCTGGGGGCCTCCGTCCTGGGCCTGGACGACATCTACCGGGCCTGGCGCGCCTTCGTGCTGCGCGTGCGGGCCCAGGACCCGGCGCCCCCACTGTACTTTGTCAAGGTGGGCTCCTGGCTCTGGCCCCATCCCCACCTCACCCCCAAGTGAACCAGCTGGGCATTGGGAACGCCCCCTACCAGGCGAGCCCACATGGTGGGCCCTGGTTGGGGTGTGGGGCGTGGCCGGCCTTCAGGATCCCAAGTCTGCCTGACCCAGCGGCACCTTGGAGGAGCTGCATCCGTGTCCCACAGATCCTCTTGGGTGCAGGGAGGCAGGCAACCCCATCTCCACTGGGGGCATCAGCTCCAGGGCGGAAGCTTTGGGCCTTCCCTGAGGATGTGGGATGCACAACTCTGCACCCCAACTCCACGGAGGGCCTGGGTTCCTGGGGAGGAGCTGAAACTGCCGCCTATTCAAAGCACGGGGGGTCCCCCATCAGAGGAAGAAATGCACCTGGCCCAGCTCCCAGCGCTGGGGAGCCCTGGTGCCCTGGTCATCAGCCTACAGCTCAGAGAGAGAAACCCAGACCCACCATTGGGTGTTCAGAGTCAGGGAATGGAAGTATGTAAAGAGGGATGTAGGGCTGCCCAAGGGTGCTCAAAGTGGGAGGGATGGAGAGCTGTAGAGAGAGGGGCACAGGTCCACCCTAGGGTGCTTAGTCGGGGGACATGGGGCTGTCTCAGCGAGAGCCCCACGGTGAGGCGGGCTCATGTGGCTGCCACGGGGCTGTGGGTTGGGTGTTCAGGGCCTCCTCAGCCCTCCTACATCCTGTAGACCCCAGCATTGCTCAGGGCAGGGTGGTACCAGGCTCCGCCGGGCTGACCCCCGGGTGTGGGACGTGGGGTCCGAGGGGAGCACTTGAGCACCTGCACTCCCCTAGGTGGATGTGATGGGGGCGTATGACGCCCTCCCTCAGGACAGGCTGGCGGAGGTGATTGCCAATGTGATCAGGCCCCAAGAGAACACGTATTGTGTGCGCCAGTACGCTGTGGTCCAGAGAGGTGCGCACGGACACGTCCGCAAGGCCTTCAGAAGACATGTAAGATCCTCAGGGCTGTGTTTCTGTGGCGTGGGCTTGTCTGTGACACAGGCGTGTCTGGTGCAGGTGTGTGTGTGGCGTGTCTGTGACACAGGCGTGTCTGGTGCAGGTGTGTGTGGCGTGTCTGTGACACAGGCGTGTCTGGTGCAGGTGTGTGTGGCGTGTCCACCCTCGAGGCCCTGGCCCACCCGTGTGGGCGCTGCATGGTGCCCTCTCCACCGCCAGTGCTGGGAGGGGCCCCTGTGGCCCTCACTCTTCATGTTACAGTCGTGTCCTCTCTTCAGCTGGCTCCTGCCCCCTGCTGTCCCTTCACAGCACTGGGGCCTCTCGGACTGAGAACCGGGTTTGTGCAAAGCAGAAGGGGCCGGCAGCAGCAGAGCCGTGCTTCTGTTTAGGTGGCTTCCATACCACCCCCAGGAGCCCACGGGAGCCCACGCGTGGCCCGCGGCCGCACAGAGGGCTGGAGTGTGAGCTGTGGGCGGATGCTGTGCTGGCTCTGGGAGAGGAGAGGGCCAGAGGAGGCCTCACCAGGACACAGGGGCCTCGCTCGCTGTCTCTGCCCGCGCAGCCCCCGCAGAGGCCACGGACCTCGGGTATCAGTGGGGCTGGAAAAGGACAGCTGGGGTTCAGGTTGTGCCTGAGGCCCCATCAGTTTAGGGGATTTCCGACCAATTATCACCAGCACGTTGGAGCGTGAGGGCACCCAGCCTGCAGGAGGATGCAAAGGGAGGGGTTTCCCCCAGAAGTTCTCAGTAAACACACACAGGAAGCCCCGGGGGCCAGGCTCGGTCCCTTGAGGTTGGCAAATCCTGAGTGTGGACACAGATGGCTGCCACCACCCACGTCAAGGCACAGAAATCACGAGGCCTGCAAGGTTCCCTCCTGCCCAGCCTGGGGTGCCCACCACTCTGACCCCTTCGTGGGGGCTCGCTCACCTGTCTTGAATCCCATGAATGTGAAATGGGCGGAACGGCCCCGGTCCTGTGTGCTTTGCTCTGCAGCATGTCTGGGAATGGGCTGGGCCCCGGGAGCAGCAGCTCTGGCAGCTTACTTGTTGACGGCGGCCCGGGTGCGGCACGTGGCCCAGCGGGGTCGTGCTCTCTGCTGGGGGTGGGTGTTTCTGGTTTCCAGGTTTGGGCGGTTGAACAACGCCGCCACGGGCATGCCTCCACGTGCCGTTCCCTGGACAGAAGCTCTGGTTTCTGTGGGCGGATTCCAGGGGTGGAGTCGCTGGGTCTTACTCTGGTTTGTTTAGTTTTAGGAGATAAATCTCCAAAGAGTTTTCCTGGGCTACTGTGCCTGATCACACTCCCCCTCTGCAGAGAGGACCCACGTGCTCACATCACGACACACAGGGGGTGGTCAATGCTTCTGGCCGGAGCCCACGTGTCCCAATGGGCACGGAGCCGTCTGTGGGGCTGCGGTTTGCGTTCCTGATTTGTTCACGTTGCTCCTGCCTTGTGCTGGGCTGGCTGCCCGTGCTGTGGTTTGTGGGAGATCTTTAGCAATCGGACACGAATCCTGTGTCGGGTGACGGACTGCAGGCATCTCCTTGGTTCGTCTGCGTCTTCACTCGCGGGGGGAGTCTGCAGATGAACAGAAGTTTTTAACTTGAACCGAGTCCACCTTCTCAGCCGTTTTTGGCTGAAGCTGTGACCTGTTGGAGAAACCGCCCGCCCCTAGGTCGTGACGACGTTCTTCCGTATTTTCTTGTAGAATATTCGTTGTCTCAGCTTCACATTCGGGTCTAGGATCCACTTTAATTCTGTGCACGGTATTTTTAACCTGTTTCGGTCTCTGCTGAAATCTGAACTTTTTACAGACTTGTCTTCCACTTAACTCGTCTCCCCTCTCTTGCTGTCTGTTAAACCCACTCATTGAATTCTTAAGTTTGACTGTCCCAGTTCTCAGTTCTAGAAATCCCACGTGAATCTTCTCACAGATTCCAGATCCCTGGTTAAATTCCCCCCTTTTCCTTTGGTTGATTGTGTCAACTTTATTCATTTAAGTCCTGCTGACTCAGTGACCCCTCACTGGGTGGGTTTCTGCTGTGTACTTGGGGTTTGGGCACTCGGGCTTCTTTTCAGCACACCTCGGTATTTTTCATTTTGGTCTTTTTCTTTGAGGAAGACTAGCCCTGAGCTTAAATCTGCTGCTAATCCTACTCTTTTTGCTGAGGAAGATTGGCCCTGAGCTAACGTCCATGCTCGTCTTCCTCTACTTTATATGTGGGACGCCTACGACAGCATGGCTTGTCAAGCAGTGCCATGTCCGTACCTGGGATCTGAACCAGCGAACCCTGGGCCACTGAAGCAGAAGGTGCGAACTTAACCACTGTGCCACCAGGCTGGCCGCCCACCTCAGTGATTTTCCACCAGATGCCAGATTTTGTAAAGAAATTCTTAAAGTACAGGTTTTGCGTGACATTGTCCTCCAGACACTGCGATGCTTTCCTGACCATGGATAGAGTGGTGGATGTCCTCTGCCTCCTGTGAGGGTCGGCCTCAGAGCGTGGGGTCTGTCCCCATCCTTTTGCCCATTCCCCGGCCCTTCTCATGCTCTCCTCGGGGCCCGGGCCCCGCACGGGTATGACACCCCCTGTGACTTTGTAGTGCTTTCCTTGTTTTCCTTTTCCCAAACAGAGCTGCACGACGGGGCCTCTTGGGCTTGGTGCCCACCCCGGCTCAACCTTCCACCGCGGGATGCCTGCTTCTCGGTGTCCACCCCTCACACCCTCTCCTCACTGGCAGGTGTCCACCTTCACGGACCTCCAGCCCTACATGAGGCAGTTCGTGGAGCATCTGCAGGGGACGAGCTCACTGAGGGACGCTGTTGTCATCGAGCAGGTTGGTGGGGTCTGGGCACAGGTGTCTCCACGTTGCCTGGTGGTCACTTGGTGCAACCCTGGGGGCTGGGGCGGAGCGGGCTGTGGACACGGCCGAGGCTACCACCCTACTGGCCGGCAAGACCTGCTCTGCCTTGGCCATGTTCCTCTTCCCACCACCTCACCACATTCTCCGCTGCTTCCAGCTGCTTTGTCCCTCAGTTTTCATCTTGAGCCTAAAGACCACGCGTCCCCTTCCCTCAGGAGGACAATCTGGATTTGACCGTAGACCCACCTTGAGCTGACCCATCCAGTGGGAAACTGTTTTTCTCGTGTGAACAGGGACCGCTCACCTGAGCTGGGGCCTTCTGGGGGGTCAGCCCCCACAGCTCTGTGGGTTTTTGCAGAACCAGTTTACTGCCAAGCCCATCCACCTAGTGAGGCTCCGAGACCTCAGACGACTTTCCTTTGGCCACCAGAGGCCCTGCCGTGTTCCACACGAGCCGTCTGGGCCTATGGCCGTGGGCCTGAGCCCCCCGGATCCACAGGCAACCCCGAGTGGCGTCCTGCGTGGGGCGAGTGCCGTGTGGACTGAGTGCCCCCAGCACCCTGCCCCTCCGCCCCCGGTGCTCTTTTCCAGAGCTCCTCTCTGAACGAGGCCAGCAGCAGCCTCTTCGACTTCTTCCTACGCCTGGTGCACAACCACGTCATCAGGATCGGCGGCAAGTGAGTTTGGGTCCTCACCCCCTCCCATCGTCCTCTCCAGACCACCTGTGCCGGGTGGCGCCCACCAGACAGGCTCGGCTGGTGTGGCCGAGGTGAGGTTCCCACGGTTACAGGAAGTCCTGGGCATTGAAATGCTGGCAGATAATTTTTTAAAATCTTGCAAGCAAAACCAGACTTCCCTGGGCCAGCGCCTGCATGAGGACCCCAGCGTGTGACGAGAGCGGTGGTCCTGGGGCTCTCAGGCTCACGGCCGAGGTCGTTAGAGGCCAGCTTGGAAGTGGGAGCCTTCACTGTGGTCACTAGCTGTGCACTAAGTTTTGGAATCTTTTTAGTTAAAGGATGTACTTTTATTATTATTATGTTGCAAATAATTGCAGTACTTATTAAAATATAATTACATTAGAAATATAACGTGCACATCCTGGAGAAACACCACATGGTGCACAGCAGGGTGAATCTGACGGAGAACACACCTGCACATGCGTGGAAATGGCCCCAGGTCAGAAGAGAGCTTTCTCCATGGAAAAGGCCACACCTAGGACCCCCCCACTCCACCCCAGAGAGACACCCCCAACTTCTCGCGTGCTGTGACCTTTATAACAGTGGGTTGTGGCACTTGTGAACAGGTCCATCGCAGGGCTTCGTGGGGCCTATAACAAACCTCTATTCACACTCCCCCTGGTGGGCCTGGTGTGTGTCTCAGTGTGTGCACGTGGTCTGTGGTATGCACGTGTGGTCTGTGCACGTGTGTGTGGTCTGTGCTGTGTGTCTACATGTGTGCACATGTGTGCATGTGGCCTGCGTCCATGTGCATGCCTGTGAGATAAGTGTGAGGCCCGTGTGGCCTGCCCACCCCTTCTAACCACGTTGCCCCCCCCAGGTCCTATGTCCAGTGTCGGGGGATCCCCCAGGGCTCCATTCTGTCCACTCTGCTCTGCAGCTTGTGCTACGGAGACATGGAGAACCAGCTGTTTTCCGGGATTCAGCAGGATGGGTAACGGACCCCTTGTGTGTGTGTGTGTTAATTTGTTTAGATCACTCACATCTCTGGTCCTGTAGATACAGACACGGCTGCACTGTCTCTTCACGCAGAGTCTACGGGAGGCAGTAAGCGGGCCTGGAACCTGGAGTTATATGTGACTTCTAGTGCGCCCGGGGCACGGACCGTTTTCACGGGCATCCGACCGAGGCTGTGCTCCGGTTGGATGGGCCCAGGGCCCCTGCTCGTCCGTCCCCGGCTGGTGCCAAAGCCCACGAGACGTTCAAGCCTGTAGTTGAGCCTCTTTGGGGAAGGGTATTCTTGTCCCTGTGACCTCAGACAGCTGAGCTTTCCTCCCTTCGCTCCCTGTGGAAGGACTGATGTCCGAGTGTAAGGAGCCCCCCTCTCGGCGTCTCTCCTTGTCTCAGGGTGCTCCTGCGCTTGGTGGATGACTTCCTGTTGGTCACCCCTCACCTGGCACAAGCAAAAACCTTTCTCAGGTAGGACCCTCACGTGTGCGCTAACGGGCACTCCTGTGGCCTGAGCACAGCTGACGTGACTTGCGTGATAACATCATTGTCACCTTGCGCTGGGCTTCCCGTGGCGTCAGCGTCCCTGGTGAGTGGGGCGCGGGGCGGTTCTGCCGTTCAGGAAGCCCAGGCGGACAGTTGCCTCCCCTGTCGCTGGCGGGAGCCTGGAGCCGGGAGTGTGGCGTCGGTGGCGGGTGTCGCCCGAGGGAGCATGGCTCAGGCAGCAGGCCAGGTGGGCTTGGAAGTCGCAGCCACAGGAGTGCGCTGGACAGTGGAGGGAGCGGCGACAGTGGGCCCTTGCGTCCCAGGGACTGAGACCGTGGAGGTGGTGCACGAGGAGCCTGAGCGCTCATCCACAGCTTCCTCTGTGGAGCCGCTTTCTCTATGGAGCTCGTGGGAGAGCACAGAGGATCTGGACCAGAAACGATGTGTCAAGAGGTGTGGGGATCGCATGGGGGTTGGTCTTAAGTTCGTTTTGTTCAAACCAAAACCAGGCCCGTGAGATCCTCGCCTTAGAGCTCTGGTCCGCAGAGCACCTTCCCGTTCGGGGCCGCGGGAGCCCAGGGGCGTGTTTAATCTGTGATTTTCTGAGGGGGAGAGAGTTATAGAACCAAACCCTCAGCACGTGCTGGTGTGGGGGCAGCTTGCTGTGGTCGTCGGGCCCCCTTTGGGACACCTGTCTGTACGCTGTCCCCACACCCTGAGTCTGCCCACCGGGGACCCCCAGGGCTCACTGTCGCACGCGGCAGGCCCAGCACAGGACGTGTGCACGTGTAAACTCATCCCAGATCAAAGGACAAGTCCAGGTCCTCGGGGGTACAGGCCACGTTCGGAGAGCTTAGTCGCCACACATGGCCAGCGGCTGCCGGACAGGCCAGCACAGAGAACGTTGCCTCTGTGGTGGGGAGTTCTGGGGTCTGAGGCTGCTGTGGGGGTGCTGGGCAGGGAGGTGCCCAGAGTGTCCGGGCCCATCATCCCCCAGGAGACGGATCATCGGGGCCAGGTAGACATAGCCAGGAGCTGACTTACTGCAAGGAGTCAGCCCGCGTGACAGTGGGGCTGGCTAGGCAAGTCTGAAGACCACCTGCGGGTGGCAGGAGGGGCGGGAGCTCAGGCCACCGACCAAGGGGCCCCCTCGTGGTTCTCCTCGGGCCCCTCCACCGATGAGTGAGCCCACCCCTCTGCGGAAAGTGAGCCCCTTAAAGCCAGCTGATTGTGGGTGTCGACTGCATCTGCAGACACCCCAGCTGCACTCAGACTCGAGTTTTCATGCCTGGGCACCAGAGCTGTGCCAAGTGGACACATCAACTGGCCGTGACAGGATGTGACCCCTTGGCCTCCGAGCCCTGCCTCTCCCACTTCTCACCCGGGTTCCCATGACGACTGCTTGCCTGTCTTGCCTATGAATAGGGCCATCCAGGCTTCTGTGCGTCCTTCAGGATCCAACCTGATCCCCGGTCCACAGGGACTGCATGCTTCCCACCCCGCTGCCTGCCTCTGCCCTTTGCTGGCCTGGCCACCCTGGTGTCTCCTCACTGGCACCTGGTCTCCGGAACCTTTTGGGGACAAGAACCCGCAGGGCAGGGCAGGGCTGGCCTGGCCTTCCTCGGCACCTGCTGCTCTGGGCCTCTGCTCCCCGGCTGCCTCTCTGGGTTGACAGAGTGTTGAATGAGTGCGTCCAAGACGCTCAGGCGGCCTGCCCCTCCTCCCGGAGGCTGACGCGGCCCCTCTGCTTCAGGACCCTGGTCGGAGGCGTGCCCGAGTACGGCTGCGTGGCCAACCTGCGGAAGACGGTGGTGAACTTCCCCGTGGATGACAGCGGCCTGGGCGGCGCGGCCCCCCTCCAGCTTCCAGCCCACTGCCTGTTCCCCTGGTGCGGCCTGCTGCTGGACACCCGCACCCTGGACGTGTTCTGTGACTACTCCAGGTGAGCATGCCCAGCAGTGGGCGCAGTCGGTCCAGTCTGGCTCCCGCTTCCATGGATGACAGGCGGCTGCAACCCCAAAAGGTCGGAGGCCTGTCTTCCCGTCCACAGGTGGGCAGAAACCCGTCCTTCTTCGGGCATGAGGGGACTTGCACCACTAGGGGAGCAGTTGTCTGGTTTTTGTCAAAGGAAATTGTGCGGCAGCCTCGGGGCACCAGCATGTTCCGTGGGGAAGCAGGGCTGTGGCACATGGGGCTGGCTCCATGCGCTACCGTGGGTCCCTGTCTCCGTCAGCTCAGGCTGCCATAAAAATACTGCGGACAGGTGACGTAAACAACAGACCTGTGCCTTCTCTAGTTCTGGAGGCTGGACGTCCGAGGTCCAGGTGTGGACAGGGTGGGTTAGTCCGGAGGCCTCTCTCCCGGGGTGTAGACGGCCGTCGTCTCCTTTTGTCCTCACACAGTCGTCCCTCTGTGCTTGAGCATCTCTCTGGTGTCTCCTCTTCTTAGAAGGACACCTGCCACGTTGCGTTAGGGGCCCCCATGACCTCATCTAACCTCAGTTACCTTCTTAACAGCCCCATCTCCAGACATGGGGTCAGGGCTTCACCCCATGAATCTGGGGGACATAGTTCAGCCCCTGAGCCCGAGAGCCCACAGCTCAGCCTCAGGCCCCGCACAGACATGAACGGACTCAGACAGACCCGGACGAGGAGCCTGTGCTCACTGTCTCGGTTGAAGGCACAGATTCCAGACCACGGTGGAAGGCGGGCGTCCCTCCTGTGTTGTAATTCCAGTTCTGGCCTGAGTACGCCGGGTCTGCACTTGTGCTGGTTCCCAGGCTCCTTGGGAATTTTATCTGAAAGGGAAAAAGCAGGCACAGGCGCTGGCTGTGTGCGGCCCGGATGCGTCCGTCTGTCTCCTGCCTCCCACTGCTCTTGTGCACTCGCACCTGCGCTTCTGTCTCCTGACCCCGTTCCCTGCCCACTGGCTCTGTCACCCCATCCTCAGGCCTCGGCTCGGCCTCCGGGCTTCCAACCCTCCCCGCCCTCCACCAGCTTCTCCCCCACAGCCCGAGGTCCCCGTCCCTCACGTCGGCAGTTCCCCGGTGCTCCGGCCGCTGGATGCTGCCATTGGGGTGAGGCACTGTGCATTTCTGAGGGTGCAGCCAACAGGGGCGACTTTTCTACAAAGCAGCAAATTTGTACTAAAGTTCTTCAAATGTCTTCTCAGTAATTTCTAGAAATGTGTCCTGAAGAAAAAATCAGAGACATGATCCCAGATTCTATTTGACCACTTTAAATGCTTGGGCAGGGGCCTTAGCACAGAGACGAAACGACCGAAATAGACGGCCGAGTAGATGTCACGCGTCACCGAGATGCCTTGTTCTGCCTTAAAGTTGTTTTCAAAGAACATGGAATATTAGGAAAAGCTTATTTCGGGATGAGAGTGTTTGAAGCTGATGTAAAAGGTCCCACGCGGAGTGGACTGTGTGTGTCTCATCTGCTCTGCGTGGACCCCTGCCTGTGGGGAGTGAGTGGCGGGCACCACGGGTGTGGGCAGTGCGGCCTCTTCCCTTCCACGTCCCGTGACGCCCACATTCCCCTCGAGGACTGCACGGCCCGTGGGCCAGGTCGGCCATGGGATGTTGGTGGGGCGTGCTTCGTCTCCTGGTTGCGTGGACGGACATGTGTCTGCAGTGTGATCAGAGTGTGCGTTTGATGGCGCAGGGTGGGCAGGTGCGTGTCTGGCCCCACGCGGCTCACGCCCGCCATCGTCACAGGTACGCACGGACCTCCATCAGAGCCAGCCTCACCTTCCAGCAGGGCTTCAAGGCTGGCAGGAGCATGCGTCGCAAGCTCTTTGCAGTCTTGCGGCTGAAGTGTCACGGTCTGTTCCTAGACCTACAGGTGAGCACGCGGCTGGGGGCCGGTGGGCGTCAGACTCGGAAGCCGCCCGCTCAGCTCCCACCTGTGAGGCCCACATGGTTCACAGGTCCTGTTACTGTGTGTGCGTGTGTCCATGTGTGTGCGCACACCTGTGTGTGTCTATTGAGGGCCTTTCCCTCAGCCCCAGTGCCCCTCCTCGCAGGGTGCGGGGTCTGAGACTTGGTGGCCTCAGGCACCAGGGTCGCAGGGCCCAGGATGTGCCAGATGGGCTGGGTGCCACCCCCGTCCCTTCCTCCTCGTCCTTTCCTCGGGCGCCCAGCAGAGTCCTGAGCCACCCCGTGGGGAGGCTCTGGCAGGATTTCCCTGGAGAGAGGATGTTTCCTCCTTAGTGGTCCTCCTTCCTACCCCATTTGGCCGGCGATGAAGCGGAAGGTAGGAGTTTAAGTTCCCATCGTTCTCTCTCCGTGCGGCTCCAGGTGAACAGTCTGCAGACCGTCTTCACAAACGTCTACCAGATATTCCTGCTTCAGGCCTACAGGTGGGTCCTTGGGCCGTGCCGCTGCACAAGGCAGCCTTGGTCGCTGCTGGGGGCCGACCTCGCCCTGCTGCCCTACAGCTGGGATGGTGCTCTGCCCACCGGGTCCCAGGCTTCCGCATCAGAACCCTGCGTTTATGAGAAAGCGGCGTTTGTGTATTTTTGGCAGCAAACACCACGGCTCCCAACAGCCCAGCCACCATTCCTGCCCCACAAGCTGGCTCACACTGAGGCCCAGCTGTGCTTCTGGAACATTCCGGAACATCCCATGTCCCTGGTGGTTCTGCAGCCGCCCTGCCAGGGACTGGGGCATGGGTGGAAGGCTGTGTGGCGTTGTTCAGGGTGCCTAAGTCTCTGCTGGGAAAGTGTTCCCCCCTCAGGCTGTGCTGGCCCCTTGGGAGGCAGGCCACCCGGCCTTCATGAACCGGTCACCTGGTCTCCCCAGCCTCGGGGACACACAGCTGGGCTTTGCTCTCTGTGGTTTCTGGGAGAGACCTGCCCCCAGGCGGCTCAGGGAGGCAGCCAGCTTCCCAGGGCTTTCTCTCGGGACATCAGGCCAGGAGCCGTGGGACCGGGCAAGGGCAGTGGCGGGTGACGGGGTGCCAGGCGTCTGTCTGAAAGTTGGTGTCGTCCAGGCTGTGCATTTGTTGTGAGGCAGCTCATTGTTTCTCTCAGGAACTGAGTAGGGCCCACGGAGGAAATTCCTACCTAAATGTCGCTCCAGGAAAGCTGCTTCTGACCCCAGAGGCCTGAGCACCGGGGCCGCAGGCGCACACGGGCTCCGTCTGTCAGTCTCTGTGTCCTAGAGGCGGGAGCCGCGCTCGCCCAAGCCTGGCTCTCCCAGTGCACAGGGCCCTCCTGCTCCTTGAGGCTCTCGTCTTCCTTTAGTGCGTCTTCCTGTCCTCGTCCCTAACCTCTCGTGCACAGCCGCCTCAGCACTTCTCTGGGAGTGTGCTCAGAGTGTAAACATGAGTGTGCCACGTGCCACTCACAGCTGAAGGCTGTGGTGGCTGTGACGCCCGCTCGCCTCTCCGGGGCCCTCAGGGTGTGAGCCGAGTGGCAGGCGATGCTTCCAAGGCCACGGGGCGGCCAACCCCAGGTCCCGGGTGACCACGTCACTTCACCTCACCCTCATGTCCCCACTGGTGGACCCCTTACTTGTGGGCTCTGGCCCTGGACACCCGTCTTCCAGGGGATGTTGCCGAGACCTGGGTTCAGGGGAGGCACCCTGGGGCAGCTCCATGCTCCTCAGCCATGGCTGTGTGCAGCCCGAGATGACCGTGGGTCAGAGAGCTGCTGGCTTCCCTGCCCATGTGCATCAACGGCAGCTGCCCCCAAATACAAAAGATCAGGTAGGTCTGAGAACCCTTCCCTCCGAGGCAGGAAGGGGGTCATAAAGCCCGGCCGTGGTGGTCATGGCAGCTAGGGCCGTGTGTGTCCATGTGGCGCTCGGAGCAGGACGCTAACCAGGCACCATTGGACTGCGACCTGCTGGGCTTGGCTCCTTTCATGGGAGCTGGAAACTCCCCCTAGTGGAGGCCTCTCGGGCCTCTGCACTGAGCACTGCCCCGCCCTCTCACCCACAGAATGGGCCCCTCCTGTGCTGGTGGTGTGGCCCCGACCCCAGAATGCAGGCAGTCAGTTTTGTGTCTCCAGACTGGCTCCCCTCTGCCGTAAGTGGTGGAGGTGCTTCCCGCCCAGCAGGCTTTCAGGGCCGTGAGATCTGATGGCCGGCTGGGTCGGTACACACCTTATTCAGAAAGGGCCCAGGTGGTTGGAAAGGCCAGGAGCACAAGACCCCTGGCGAGGGTTTGTCTCATGGTTGTACGCACACGTGTGCACACACCAACACGTGGACATGTGTGACTTATACACGTGCATACACAGTACACACAAACTGACCGTGCATACACACGTACATGCCTGCCCGTGGAACACATGTGCACACACATGGCACCAGGTTCACAGGTGCTCACACACACGTGAACACGTCCTAACCAGGAGGCCTTCCTCTGACAAAGCTGCCCGTCCCCAGGTTCCATGCGTGTGTGCTCCAGCTTCCGTTTAATCAGCCAGTGAGGAACAACCCATCCTTCTTCCTGCGGCTCGTCTCTGACACCGCGAGCCGCTGCTATGCCCTCCTGAAAGCCAAGAACGCAGGTGCGCGGTGACCTGGCCCGGCTGGCAGGGTCTCGGGGTGCCTGTGGTGCTAGTGAAACCCAGGCTGCCCCTGCACACCCCAATGCGGAGCTGCCCTGTGGCCTGGGAGCCCCACGGCTGAGTCAGGGGACGCAAGGCAGGGACTGGGGCTTCCGCTGCGCTCACTGGCTGCCTCGTGCCCTCCCCGTGTGGCAGACAGGCCTGCGTGGTTGGGATGTGGCAAACATTGGGATCTGGTCCTTCCCTCGCCCGCTCAGCCTCCTCCTGGGTGCCCCCTCTCTGTGGTGTTCTGGGGGCTGCACAAACCTAGTCTAGGGTCAGGAGGAAGCCGGGCCTAAGCCTGCTGCCCCATAGCCCCTCCCCCCCATCTTGCAGAGGAAAGTGATGGGAGGGACGCCCACGGGAGCCGCTTGCCCACCCCTGCATCGGGGTGCACCGCCATCCGTCTCTGTCTTCCCCTCGGTGTCCCCACCCAAGAGCTCCCATGGGAGCTGCCATCTGCGCCCACGGCTCGTGGTGGGCGTGTCTGATGAGTCTGAGGCTCTGGCCAGGCCGTGCCCCCGTGGTCCTCAGCCTAACACGCTTGGCTTTTTGTTACTTCTGTTTGTGGAAGTTTCTTTGGAGAAGTCGGAAACGTTCAGTTGTCAGAAGCTGCTGCTGCTTGTGTGGGGCGTCTCCTGAGTGGCCCTGCCCTCGCCCCCACTCCTGCACTCAGCCTGGAGGGACCCTGGGCTATGTCTGGAGCACGCAGTCTCCCAGGAGGAGCGTGGGGCCGTGGGGGCTGGGTGGGGACCTTAGCCTCCCGTGTGTCCCCAGGGACACCACTGGGGGCCAAGGGTGCCTCTGGCCCGTTTCCTCTTGAAGCCGCTCGGTGGCTCTGCCTCCATGCCTTCCTGCTCAAGCTGGCTCGCCACAGCGTCACCTACAGGCGTCTCCTGGGGGCGCTCCGGGCAGGTAAGCGTGTGCGGAGTTGGTGTCCGGCCCCAAGGGGGCTTCGTCCTCGCGAGAGCCGGCGTCTCGGCCCCTCCCTGTCTGCGTGATGGGTGAGTGGGTGCAGGAGTCCCCAGCTGATGGGGTGCAGGTACCCCCGGGTCTCGGGCTCCCCCCTCATTCAGGGGCTGGCGCACAAACTGGGTCACTCACCCCTCCAGGCCTTGGCTCCATGGCCAACAGCCCCAGGATGTCGTCTCCAGGAACCGCGTCTCGCTCTGTCTCCCCGCCAGCCCCACTGGCCTGTGTGTCCTTCCTCAAACCCCCAACCCATGCCCCCTTGGGCCTCTGCCCTGGCTGCCCCCTGACCCTGGTGCAGGGGTCCTCAGCTCCTCCTTCCCCAGAAATCTCCCCCACACCGTGCGCCCTGTGCTGCCGGTCCTTCCTGGGTCCCTGTCTGCTCCCCAGCGATGGTGGCTGCTGCCCCTTGCTCATGTCCCGGCACCTGGAGCCTGGCATGCATGCAGTAGGCGCTCAGCACACAGGCTGTGCCTGCCTGGCTTCTCGGTGGTTAGGGTTAGGGTTAGCGGGAAGATTGTTCTAGTTTCTTCCAGAAGGAGGTCTGACTTCAGTCGTCCCCTTGCAGCCCAAGTGCAGCTGTGCCGGCAGCTCCCGAGAGCGACACTGGCTGCCCTGGAGGCAGCGGCCCACCCAGCCCTGACCGCAGACTTCAAGGCCATCTTGGACTGATGGCTGGCCCTTCTTGCAGCATGGGGTGGGCACCGGGACCCACAAGTCCCATCCCCTGCGGTTCCACATCCTGGAGGGTCAGGCCTTTCTCCCCTGGGACTCAGGACAAACGCTGCTGGCTAGGCTGCTCCCGGGAAGGGGTTGGCCCCCACGTCCTCAGGAAGCATGGCCTGCCTACCACCACCCTCTGGTGTCGGGGTCTGTCCTTCAGCACTGACTGCAGAAGGAGGCAGGAGAGCCTGGCTGGGGTGCTGGGTGTCTGGATGGGGAGTGTTGGGGACCTTTGTCCCACCCCCTCACTGTGGGGGCTGCTGTGGTCTGGAGCAATGGCACGTGTCCCCACGGGTGCAGGGGGTCACGTGGTTGCTCATGGTGGACGTGGGCTCCTTCCTGCTGCCCCACATGCCCAGGCTCGGAGCAGCACCGCCACGGCCGGAGCCGAGCTGCTTCCGAAGTCCAGCTTCCCCCGTTGCTGGTGAGGCACCATCCCCACCAGGCTTTGCTCACATGCCGACCTCATCTGTCCCCACACCCCATGCCAGCTCCTGGAGCCCGAGTGTCCAGCAAACCCCGCCCACCACCTCCACCTCCAGACTCTTCCTGCTGGTCCCGGCTCAGCACGCGTCACCCACACGCCTCCTACCCCCTCCCCCAGTGGCTCTGTGAGGGCTGTGGGAAGAAGATCGCAGCTTTGTTGTTTTCATAGTTGTTAAATGTTTCTTTTGCTGTTTGTATGAAGATGTGTGCTACATCAGTACCGTCATCTGATTATGAAAACACTTGTGTCTATCAGGTGCACAACGCACACGGGTCCTTGGCCTGGCGGGGGGTTGGAGGGGTCAGAGGGGGCGGGGATATGCTGGGAAGGAGACAGGAGGTGGGAAGGGCACCCCCATAGGGCGGGTGTGGCCAGGTGGGAAGAACCCAGCCCAGCACCCACCCTGCCGACAGCCGACTTGGCCAAGCTTCATGGACTCTGGGGAGAAAGGGTGGCAGGGCTCTGGCCGTCCTCTTCACTGTGGACCGCATGGTTCTGGTCTTTCTGGAGGGTTCCGCAGAGTGGGCAACGAGGGCCGTGGACACAGCAGGGTTTGGGAGGGTGGCTGATGAGCTGGCTGCCCATGCCTCCCCTCCAGGCTGCTGGTCTCCTGACCTGTCCCCATGTTCTGGACCTGGGCAGGTGGACACACTGTGTGCAGCCTGGCCCTGTCTGTCCACCCCTGAGTCTGTCCCCCTCTGTCATCTGGGGTCTCCTGGGGTGAGGGTGACCGTGCCCCTCTCCTGTTCCCGCATTCTGACCACTGTGGGTTCCTTCGTTCACATGCCATCACATCCGTTTAGCTGAACTTGGTGCCGCACCCGGGGAGAAGGCACATGCGGGGCAGACATGTCGGCCGCAGGCCCCCTGGGCCTGGGATTAGGGGTCATGGAAATGGGGGCTCTGCTGAGGAGAGGGGTCCTGCTCACACAGGCAGAGTCCCACACACCCTCGCTGACCTCCCCGCACGGGAGTAACAGGAAGGGCTGGGAGGCTGGGTTGTGGTGCTCTGCTCAGAGTCGAGGGTCATGGCTCTGAAGGGGGCCGGTTGAGGACCTTGTGGTGAACAGCTGGTCCCCGTGCATCGTGGAGAGTGGTGCCATCCCCTGACCGGCAGCCCTGGGAGCCCCAGAGAGAACTTGTTGGGGAGGCAGGGGTCTCAGGTGACCTGGGAGGTGAGGCAGCAGATTTCAGGCTGAGCTCCAGGTCCGCTGGGGGCTTGAACCACACATAGGTGCTGCCCCCCCCTAAGTTTCCAGCTCAACAGGTCAGGTGGGGCCTGGGAATTTGAATTTTTAGCAGGTTCCAGGTGATGCTGATGCTGCTAGTGGGGTGGGGGACTTCAGCTGAGAACCACTGCTGTGCAAAGGGGAGGTCTGGGAGCTGGTCTGGGGTCTGTGTTCTGTGCAGTGGCCCCAGGGCGGAGCAGACAGCAGCTGGCTGGGTCCAAGGTCAGGCTCAGGAGTTTGGAGGTGGGTAGAGGGCGAGGTTGTGGGTGACGTGGCTAAGGCTGCCTGGGAAGAAGTAGCCAGAGGTTGTGAAAGGGCTTGTTGGAGAGAGGAGGGTCTGGGGCCCTGGTGACAGCAAGGAGGGACCACGTGCCTCGCAGTAGCGTCGCCAGAGCCACCCCAGCGTCCCTGATAGATCCCCAGCTTCTGGGTCCCCCAGCCCAAATCCTGGTGAGGTGCCCCAGAAAGGAATGCATTGTCCACGGACACCCAGGTTTGCACCAGGATGACAAGCCTGGTTCTGCACTTGTCTTTGTTGAGGACGCATCCGCCAGCAGCAGACACACACTGTGCCCTTCCAGACCACCGTGTGGGGCCATGTGGGGCCATGTGGGGCACGTGCTGGCTACGCAGGGCGCTGGACAATCGTCCTTGAACAGACGGAAAGAGCAGAAAGGAATACACAAAGGACAGGAAGGGAGCGGCTCCAAGGAGGTGTAATTGGTGAAGAAACCGCCCCACCGGGGGCGTTGGTGCTCAGCCCTGTCTCCTGGGCCAGTGTGAAGGCCAGTAAGTGGCATTTGACATGGGTGAGCACTTCCCAATGCTTCCTTCCAGGATGTCCCTGATGGGGCCACAGAACCTGGCGGGTGCTATCTAGTGTACTTTGGACGGGGCCAATGCTAACAGCCCACATTGGCCGAGAGTTGCGCACATCGCGTGTGGGCGTTTATGGATATTGCCTTGTTTACTGCAGCTGCCGCGGAGAGCATCCAAGCAGCCAAGCTCACGTGTTTATGACCCACCCAAGTCCACAGAGCCGTGTAAGTGCGCCGGAGAGATGAGCGCTGAGCACTGAGCCCCGCCCACCCGCATGTGCCGGCCTGAGGTGCCCTGGCTGCCATAAACAGAGGGAAAGACTGACCGGCTACCTGGGGCGGGGGGACGCTCGGGCAGGTCAGACAGGACGTGACGGGGACACGGCAGGGCCTCTGCAGCAGGTGTCTGAGCTGGCCCGCCACCTGCCACTGCAGGCTCACGATGCCCGGGCCAGTTTCTGGCATTTCCATAACCAACCAGCCCAAGAAGTCGGTCATTACTCAGCTATCTGCCCTCTATAAGTCTCCAGAGCTTTGTTTCCCTAGTGAATGCTCTTGTCCTGGTTTTATGCAGAGTCTCCTGTGTTTTGGCTGACGTGAATCCCCTGAAGGGGTACACGCTTTGGTCAGACTTAGCTCACTGAAGACTCTTTCTGATTTATCTCTTTTTTAAAATCGTGTGTAGACTGCCAGTGTCCGCAGGGTGAGATGTAGAAATAATACAATTTTTAAAAGCAAAGAAAAAAAATCTAGTTTTGGGGTTTCACTAGGTCTAAACTGCACATGAGGAAGCTCGTTACTCCCTCATCCCGCAGATGTGTCCACAGCAAGAGGAGTTCCAGATGAGAAAAGCTCAAAAGGACGCGTGACTGAGAGCAGGTGTGGACGACACCTCCAGGAACCCCCAAGGTGCCGAGAGGCCTCCCCCAGGCCTACCTTCCTGCCCTCCCTCACCTGCCAGAGCCCTGGGGGGTGTGCTCAGTGCTGCCGCTTGGATGCTCACCTGTGAAGGGTGCTGCGGAGCAAAGGGTTTCCCAGACCTGGGCAGGCACAGAGCCTCCGGGCGCTTGTGAGAGGCAGAATAACGACCCCCAAAGATGCCCACATCCTAATCCTGGAAGCTGGAGTACCTTACCTGACACGGCGAAGGGGGGTTTTATTGCAGGTGGAATTAGGTGACTAATTAGCTGACCTTAAGATGAGGATCATCCTGAATTATCCAGGTGGACCCGGTATGATCACAGAGCCCATAAAAGTGGAAGGAGAAGGCCGGCAGTGTGTCCCAGAGATGCGCTGTAAGAAAGACTCCCTGGCCCTTGCTGGCTTTCAGTGGAGGAAGGGGCCGCAAGCCAAGGATCGCAGCATGGAAGGGTGGGGGCAAAGTGCGTGACTCGCCCTACCTGTGGGGCTTAGAACACACTTTGGGGGACACAAGTTCACACCATTTCAATACTCGGCTCCTCTTAGGTGGCAGTAGTGCACACACTTCTGTTCTCGTGGGTCTGAGCTGACTGTGGGTGAGGACAGCTCCCTCCATGCACACCTGGCATGGGCCATGTACAACCTGCCATATGCCTTCTCCTCTGGGGAGCTTTCAGCACCCTGGACAGTGCTCGCCAGGCCAGGGACCTGTTTCCAAGGTGCTTAGACAGAGGCGTTCTGGGTCTTCAGAGCGGTTCCTAGCAGCCTGTAGCCAAGGATGTCCATGGTCTCCATGTGGCAAGTCAGAAGCAAGTGTGCGTGTCCAGGGCCCAGTGCCTTAGACTTCACCCCAGCTCCCTGGTGCTATCAGGGGAGGGAGGAGGGAAGGAAGGACTGAAGAGTGGATGGATGGATGGATGAGTGGATGGTTGGATGAATGGATGGATGGATGGGTGGGTGGGTGGGTGGATGGATGGATGGATGGGTGGGTGGGTGGATGGATGGATGGATGGGTGGGTGGATGGATGGATGGATGGGTGGGTGGGTGGGTAGATGGATGGATGGATAGATGGGTGGGTGGGTGGATGGATGGATGCGTGGGTGGTTGGGTGGATGAATGGATGGGTGGATGGGTGGATGGGTGGATGGGTGGATGGGTGGGTGGAGGAGAACAGGAGGACAGGTGCAAGCGAATGAGCACATGTGAAGCTGGGGAGAAGAACTCACTCACCCAGTGCTCCAGAAAAGGGCAGGTCATGGCTAAAGGCTACACAGAGGACTTGGGGCATGGAAGGTGCCTGGGGAGTGATTGGGATTGAATGAATGAATGAGTGGGTGATGGTGCTCCTCTGGAGACAGTAGGGACCTGAACAATAATTAGCCTTTTTGTACAAACTTGACAAACGAGCCATTGAGAAAGCTTTTAGAAAACAAAAGGCATAGTTTCTCAGAAATAACATCAGGGAGAGCCGCCAGCCCCCTAGACTTTCCTGGCCATGCTGACTTTCCCTAGCTGGCACTCACTCACTCACTCACTTGGGGGATCGGTCCTGGGGTGAGAGTGGGGTGTCGTGGGTTCTCTGTGACAACACAGACCCACACGTCTGCTCCTACTGGTTTCCCCATCACATACGCAGCCACGACAGACCCAAGTGCTACCGGTAAAGAAAGGGGCTTTCTGCGGGCCAGGGGCTTCCCTTCCGAGCTCACCGTGGGACAGCGCACCTCTTTTCCTTGGAGATAAGCCCTAGGAACTCCCTCAACTTGTGTGGTGTGAGGGCCCCCAGCTGCAATGGGTGCGGGTGTGGGCCTTCTCAGAGGCCCCCTGCCGGCCTGCTTGGCCATCGGGACACCCCTGCCATTTTGCCCCTGGATTTGCCTGGAGCATCTCATGGCCACCCAGATGGTGCTGTGCAGGACCCAACTGCAGGGGCCCGGGAGCCGGACACCAGGCTGTCTTCTGTGTGGAAGACAGTGTGGACCATAATGTTGGAGCTGGGCTGTGCTGTGAGCAGGGTCTGGAGGGTGCGAGGGCATCAGGAAGCAACAACCACAGGTCTCTGGGTAGGAGGCAGGTCTGTAATGGGGTCCGGTGCTCTGTGCTCTGCGAGCCTTGCACAGGAGGGGCCCTCCCCACCGTCCCCCCTCAGCAGGCCCCGCTGTCCTGTGGCTTCAGGTGCATGTCCTGCAGCGCAGCCTTCTTCTTCCTTCTGTGCCTGACAAGCAGCTGGGCCAGCGCGACAGCCGGGACCAACAGCACGGGCAGGAAGGACAGGAGCATACAGGTGACCTGCACCCAGCCCGGGTAGACGTTCTCCTGCTGCGTGGGGAACTGGTCCTACAGGGACATGAGACCACAGGTGAGCATCCAGGAGGGGACAGCGTGGCCGAGCCCAGGGACCATCCCCACTCTCCAACCCCAGGTGGAGCAACCTGACCCTCGCCACAGTGAGTGTGAGCGGTGTGGGGCCGCTTCACCCCGTCTCTCCCTGGAATGCAGCAGTTCATTCATTCTGGATTGATTGATGGGAGAGCCACGTGGCTGGGGCAGTGAGGACACAGAGCCCATGTTCCAGGACAGGGGCCGAGCCCCTTGTGGGGACTGGGTTTGGAGAGGCAGGCCTGGCATCTGGGAGGCATGTTAGAAAGAGCCCCCAACTACCCCAAGGGCCACCCGGGTCTGGGGCTGCCCTGACCTGCCCCGCTGGGCACGTGTGGATCATGTGTCTCCCTCCTCTCTAAGGGGGCGGCATCACCCACGACTCAGGCACCTCTTGTGAGGTCGACGTGAGACACTAATGTGTGAACCTAATGGGACGATATTCACGCAAACCTTCTAGAGATTCAGCCCCATTCCTCCCCCACCCGCCCAGCCACCACCCTGCGGATCTGCGGGGACAGCTCCCAGCTCTAAGGATCTGGAACAGGGTTGTTCCATGTTCCCGTGAAGGGAGCAGCACAGGTGAGCCTCTGAGCAGCCAGCCCGTGTGGCTCAGCTCAGCCCTGCCGGCAAGGGCTGGCACCAGAGTGGGACTCACACGCCCTTCCCTCTGACTGGGCTCGGTGGCAGTTCAATGACACGCTCCACGCATGCCTTCTCCTGTCTCAGACCAGGAGCGGGCAGTGTGCAGCGCCCATCCTCACAGCACATGGGAAGTGTGGCTCAAGGGCTCGAGGCCACATCCCTGTATGAGGGGCTCCAGGGCCCTGTGATACCATGGGAAACTGCTCCCGTCCTCCCACCAGTGACCGAGGGCCGTACCCAGGCTTGCCTGGGGCTGCCAGAGTTGGCTCTGATGCCCCAGAGGATTCTGGAGGTCTGGCGGTCTTGGGTCTCATAGCAAAGGCAGCCCACGTGGTCACTTAGGGTGTGAATGTCTACTGTGAGGGTCCTCTGGGCCCTGGATGGCACCGGGGAAGGGCCAGGCCAGGCCCAAGGTTGGTCCCAGGGCTCCCGGGTCCCCACCCAAAGGACCTACATATTGGGGGTTCCAGGCCCTGTAGCTCGGTGGCGCCCTGGCCAGGAGGGCGATGTAAGCCACGAAGATGGTCAGCAGCAGCAGGGGGCTGACGACCTTCCAGGTCACCCGCCAGTAGAGGCTGGGCCGCCTCCCGGTCATCCATGCCACGTCATCGCAGAACCTGCCACAGAGACACGAGGCTCGGGCTCTCACACCTGGTCCCAGTGCCTGCCCTCCCACCCACTCAGCCAGCAGCCTTCGTCCAGTGTCACCAGGACGTGCCCCGTGGGGGCTGTCACCCACATCCACTCGACCTTTGCCCCCACGCCTTCCTGAGAGGCTGCTGGACAGGCAGCCCTCTCAGATCTGTTGAGGACTCAGCCCCGGGGTGTGGGTTAGGAAGAGCCCGGCTGAGGGAGATGGCTGGGCAGGCAGCTCTCCCGGGATTCCTGGCCCCAGCCTGGCCCCTGGGGGAGCTGCCACTGGACAGGACCCATGGGTTTTACTCCTGGGAGGCTCGGGCCACAGGGTGAGAAGCAGCAAGCCCCCACCCCGTGGGAGGGAAGGTGGGGCCTGACTTGGCCCCCGTCAGGATCCCCGGATGGGGCGGAGGTAACCCAGGACGTGCAACAGCTGTGGCATTAACTACGCCCAGGAGCCGCAGGAAGACCGGACCCTCCTCCCGGACCCTCCCCTGCCTGCTCCCCTCCCCACCCCCAGCTCTGCTCCAGAGGGCTCCTGGTGCCTCCTGAGACCCCGCGGCCAGTCAGAGCCCAGGCTTATTGCTTCTCCCCACATGGCTGGGCCAGCCCCCACCAGACGGCTGCCTCTCGCTCCTCCTCTCCAGGTGGGCAGCATCCCACCTCGGGACAAGCCCACTGGCCCCATGCCCACAGAGCAGCAGTGAAAGCCCTGGCATTCAGGGCCTTCCAGGACCCCTTGGTGTCCAAGGACAGGGAGCACAACCTCCAGAACCACCCGGGCAGGGCTTTGGTCAGGGGCAGCAGGTGCGAGTGTGAGTGTGACAGGTGAGAATGCAGGTGTGAGTAACGAGAGTGATAGATGTGAGTACAGGTGTGAGTGACAGAGTGACAGGTGCAAGTGTGACAGGTGTGAGTACAGGTGCGAGTGTCTAACAGATGTGAGTACAGGTGTGAGTGACAGAGTGACGGGTGTGATGGGTTGAGTGACAATGAGTGACAGATGTGAGTACAGGTGTGAGTGTAAGTGTGACTACAGGTGAGAGTGAGAGTGGCAGGTACAAGTGCAGATGTGACAGGTGTGAGTGCCAGTGTTACAGGGCTAAGTGCAGATATGAGTGACAAGTGTGAGTGCAGGTGTGACGAGTGCAGGTGTGACAATGAGAGTGACAGGTGTGCGTCGGCCAGAGACTGGTGGGGATGGGCAGGACCAGTGCTGGGCCTTCTCAGAGGCCTCTGGGAGGGTGTCCAGGCAGGGTGAGGCTCGGAGCCCTTGGTGGGCCTCCCAGCGCCCTAGTGTCCACCAGTCCTTGGACTTCAGGAGTCCGCCCACATGGCTGGAGACTGCCGTTGTGTGGCTCGCCTCCCACAGCCTGAGAGGCTGGAGAGCCAGGCGGGGCAGGCCCATGGGTGCTTCTCTGGACCCTGGGAGCCGCCCTCTTGTGTGTTTTTGAGGGGCCCAGGTGGTCCCGTCTCGTCCTGTTGCTGCCTGGAGACCTGCTGGGCCCATACCTCGTACACGGGACACCCTGAGCAGAGGGCCAGGACCCCGACCCCAGCTGGACCTCCAGGGGAAGCTGAGCTCACCGATTCATCCCGTAAATGTAAACGATGCCAACCACCTCCAGGAAAGCGAAGATGACCAGGTTCAGAGAAGCAGCGTAGCGGTCGAAAACCTCGAGCCAGTAGTTTCCGGAGTGCAGCGTGAAGTGGATGGAGGCGAGGAAGCAGCTCAGGCAGGCCACCCCTGAGGGACAGCGCCGCTCTGAGCAGGTCGCCCTGGCCGCCGCCCTCCTGGCTCCCAGCTCCTCCTCTCCTGTCTCTCCTGCCCACCGCCTCCCCCACCCCGAACCCAGGGGGACAGGGGCTCGGCCTCATTGGGCAGCACAGGAGGGAATCCCCTGCCCTCTGCCCCTCCCTGACCCTTGGCTCTCCCGTAATGGCCCTCAGGGGACGTCAAGTCAGCCCAGAGCCACTGGGACCAGCCCTGAGAGGTGACGAGGCTGCCCCAGCCTTCCGCTGGGACTGCAAAACCGCTCTCTAGCCCTCAGGGATGAGGGGCGTCTGGACAGTGGGCAGGAGTGGACAGAGGGGTGGGAGGCAGCGGGATGGCAGGGATGGGCCCTGCAGGGTGGCCTGGCTGTCCACTCACCAGTCAGGACCTCCTTGGGGACCCATCTGGGCATGACCCCCATGTCCAGGAGCGGTGTGATGACAGCCTCCATGTTCCCGAACATGGACGACAGGCCCAGGGTGAAGAGCATCCCAAAGAACAGCACGGCCCAGCCCGGGGCCCCCGGCATGTGCAGGATGGCCTCCGTGAAGACGATGAAAGCCAGGCCTGTGCCCGAGGCACTCTGCAACACACGCCCCACACTGAGACATGTGCCTGGGGCACCCACGCTGTGACACACACACTGCACACCCTGCGCTGTGACAGGCAGGTCACCAACACCCCTCCTGGCCTCCCGGCTGAGGCGGGGGCCTTGCCCCATCTGGGCTGCGCCTCAACAAGCCGTAGGTGCAACTCTGAGGGCAGGGGAACATTTCCCCTTGAATAACCTGCAGCCGACAGGTGAAGTGGGAGCCTGGGGCCCTGGGCTCAGGCACCCCTCAGACCCTGCCCTGGGGACCTGCCTCCCGTCTGCCTGTCCCAGCCTGCTGCCCCTGGCCCACGGGTGACAGCTGGCCCTGCGGGCAGCTGCCTGACTTTGGCCACGGCCTGGCCCTGTGACCCTCGCTCTGGCCCCATGCCCGGGATACCCACCCATGACACCTGCTCTCCCAGCCAACCGTCTGCAGCAGGCTTCGGCCCTGCGTGGCCCCACTGCCCTGTGGCAAGGCCCCCAGCTACCTTGTCCAGAAAGTCCTCGAGGTGGCAGGACTCCAGGCCGAGCCCGGCCACCCTCTCGGGCTGGGTGACGTTCAGATGTGCGAGGACGGCAGCATAGTCGTCCCTGGAGATGCTCTGGTCGGGGAAATCGAACGCATTGATGAGGCTGAGGATGTTTCTGCAGGTCAGAGAGTCCGGGTGAGTGCTGGGTTGGGTGCCCGGCACCCGCCACAGGCATGTCTGGGAAATGCGGGAAAGGACGACGGCATCCCTTGGGTGGGGTCTCGAGGACACCTGTGGCGGGGTCAGCCCTCGCGGGGCACTTCACGCACACTGGGGGAGAGAAGGCAGTTCTCGCCCCTCAGGGGACCCCAGGCCTAGAGGGGGACACGTCCCTGTGGGTACGAGTGGGGCAGTGGCAGCTCCCTTGCCCGCTGGGTGTGTGGGTCCCCAAGCAGCACGGGGGGCAGCGCTCCCAAAGGCTTCTGGGACGGACGGGAGCCCCAGCACTCCGTGAGTGTTTTGTATTTGTGAATCCGCCTACTCGCAGAACTTATTTGCAACCTAGGACTCAGTAGTCGCGGTGCCCCTGCAGTTACGTGCGGACAGGTCCAGAGTGGCAGAAGCTTCGAGTCGCCCACCTTCCCAGCTGAGCTCGGCCAGGCCGCCACCCGCCTTCTCGTCTCAGCTCTGGGGCTGCAGATGGCTCCTCACAGTCTCGTCAGGGCCACCGCTCTCGCCTTTTTGTGCTTTTCGTTGGTGACTCTGCTGTGTAGAGTGTCCTTTAGGCATAGCCCTGAAGAGCTGTCTGTGTCCTAAAGGCAGCAAGAGGCCGGGACGTGCCCCTGGCCCCAGAAACACGTCGGAGGAGCTTTGTTCAGACCCCAGTTGCTGTTGTTGACAGGTGCAGTGCGGGTGGGCCAGCGCTGTGCTCATGGGCGTCTCCATGGAAGAGCTGCTCCTACTGCTCTCGAGCGGGGGTCACGCGGTCACCAGGGCACAAGCTTGCAGCCTCTCTAGAACATTCTGCTGGGGGCGTCACATGCTCGGCAGCTCCCAGGGCCGTGGGGCTCTGGCTGCGCCTCATGCAGCTGCCCCATCCTCCTCTTCCTCTCTCTGCGGATGCGGCCCCAGTGCGGTCAGAACAGCTGTCTCCCGTGGCACTGTTGGCCGGGGCCGGATCGTTCTGGGGTGTCCCGGGTACCGTGGATGGTTAGCAGCGTCATGGAGGGCTGCCTGTGCCCTTGACGGGCTGTCACGGGTGGACCACGTCTGGAAGGCCATTTGCAAGCAAGAATGGACAGTGCCATGCCATTTGGTGCAGTAAGTCCAGACGTCAGTGTCCTGGGGCTGCTGTGACAAATGACCACACGCTGGAGGCTTCCAACAACAGACCTTCGTCCTCTCTCAGCTCTGGAGCCAGAAGTCTGACGACAAGGTGTCACAGGGCTGTGCTCCCTCCGAGGCTCCAGGGGAGGGTCCTTCCCGCCTCTTCCAGCCCCTGGGGCCCCAGGTGTCCCTGGGCTTGTGTCTGCGTCCCTCCAACCTCTGCCTCCGTCGTCACGTGGCCTCCTCCATGTGTGTCTGTGCCCCTCTCTGTCTCTTATAAGGACACTGTCATTGGATTGGGGCCACCCTATGCATGAGGACCTCTTCTTAACCAATGGTACTGGGAAGACCCTGTTTCCAAACCAGGTCACGTGCTGGGTTTGGGTGAACGTGCACTTTGGGGACACTCCCCACCCCCCTCCCCTAAAGACGTGAAGGTAGTCATGTGGCACTCTCTGTGAGCAGCGGCCTCTGACAGCCATGCCCCATGGATGCCCCGCCCCATGGAACCAAGGCGCCAGGCTCACCTGTCCAGGCAGCGCCCGTGGTCATTGGCTGCCTTGAACCCCAGGACAGAGAAGACGATGATGGCGGCGTAGAGGGAGGTCATGCTGTTGACCAGGGCAATGGTCACCGCGTCCTTCTTACAGTTGTTCCTGGGCAGAAACAGCACATCACGGGGCTCTGTGTTAGGGCCCCTGGGGAAGAAGCCAGGAGGGGGCTTGTCGCCCCTTGCCCCCCAGGCTGTGCCCACTCTGCACATGGAGCTTCTTGTGTGCTGCCCAGAAACACTGGAGCTGTTGCTGGTGGTCTCAGGGCAGGTTCAGACCCTCTCCTCACTGACACCTCGCTGCCAACCCCCTACCTCCCGACCCCCTACCCGCTAACCCCGTCCTCACTGACCCCCTCCTCACTGTCCCTCTCCCCACTGACCCCGTCCTCACTGTTCCCCTCCACACTGACCCCTCCCGATCCCCTCCCTGCCAACCCCCCTCCACTGACCCCCTCCTCACTGTCCCCCCCGCCCACCCCAGCTCAAGGCTGCTGAGGGTCCTCAGCTCACTGAACCCCCGTCCCCACAAGGCTGAGCCACAGGGAGCTGGAGCCGTGGGGAGGGCTCGGGGAGCAGGATGTAGGTCTGGCTGAGATCATCCCCAAATGAGACCTGCACACGAGCTGCTCCGAGTGTGAGCCGAGGCAGTCGCATGTCCACGCATGGGTACAGCCCCGGGCCCAGCGCATGCTTCTACCCAGAGGGGCCTGCCCTGCGTTTCCTGGGTCCACCTCCCACCCACCTATGACAAGCACGTGGAGCCAAGTATGTCTGGAGTGTCGGTGTCATGGTGCCGCTCAGAGGTATATACGGGTCCACTTTAGTGCTGTGGGCACACTGGGCCTCCTAGAGCCGTGTGCATGGTCCTGGTGGCAGGTGGTGGCCTTGAGTCTATTCTAAGCAACTAGAGAGGCTGACACTCTGCATTTCTGCTCTTGTGACCTCCAGCATCGCACGTGGTTCATTTTAGTTGGTGTCAGCCCCACTTATGGCCTTGTTCCTGGGCCGGCTCCAGAATGTGCTGGAGGCTGCCAAAGGGGATGGCGCAGTAATTGCTGGAGCCAAGAGTCTGCTCTTATCACAAGCTCATGCCAGGTCACCCTCTTCCTGTGGGTGACGTCACGATAAGGAAGTGCCCTGTGGGGCCCACGTCTCTGGCGGAAGGGCTCCACTGCCCAGTCCTACCTGGGTGGGTTGTAACTGGAGAAGGCGATGTGTCCTCCGAAGCCCAGGGACAGAGAGAAGAAGATCTGGGTGGCCGCATCCAGCCACACTCGGGGGTTCTGGAGAATCTGCATCTGGGATGAGGCCGGGAACCCAGTTATGCGGCAGACAAACCACACTGGCCTGGGCGCCTGCCATTCCAGAGCATTCCCAAGGCTTCCTTTGGGAAAGCCCTCGTGAGGGATGTGACCCGCTCAGGCCCGGAACAGGGTGGGACCGGGTGTGAGGAAGTGCTCGAGACCACACAGCACAACAAACTCGCCAGCCTGCTTCTGTGATGGCTCCTGTCCACCGGGCACGCAGGCTCTGAGAACTCGGCCAACAGACCTCCCAGGGCTGGGAAAGGCAACTTGAACTGGGGTGTGTTTATTCTCTCCTTTCAGACCTGGTGGCTTTGAGCGACCTGAAGGCCCAGGCAGGGTCCGCGTGCGCAGTGCCTGGTCTCTGCTGCTGGGGATCCACTTCCATACCCAGGGACCGCCTCTTCCCCTGGGGAGGCTTCAGGGGGCCTTCTGTGCAACCCCTGAAATCCCCCAGGGAATGCTGGGGTCCTGGAGGGTATGGAATGGTCCAGAAGTGGGACGGCCTCCAGTGGGCAGGCCCCTCGGTCCTGTGGCTCCTTGCCTGGTGAGATCGAGCAGCTGGATGAGGACCTCAAAGGTGTGGGGTTCAGGACACTAGGGGCTGGAGATCTGGGTTCCCAGCCGGCCTCTCCCCTGAACCAGGGCCCCAACCCCGTGTTTCATGTCAGTCTCCACTCAGATGAGCTGCAGGCACTGAAGTGTATACATCGTCCGGCTCCCTCTCCCTCCGATCCTGACCTGCTCGCTCTCACCCTCACCCAGCCCGGGGCAGCCTCGCCTCTGGCTCACAGCCACTCACACGGCCAGGGGATGGCACGACCTGGGCTGTGCTGTGGCCCCGACCCGTGTGTGTGCTGGGGCCCGGACCCAGGACTCCTACTCGAGACCCACTTACCTTGGGGGTGAACAGGTAGGTTAAGCCTTCAGTGGCCCCGGGCAGGGTGAGTCCTCTGATGAGGAAGATGGTCAGGACCAGGTAAGGGAACAAGGCTGTGAAATAAATTGCCTTAAAGAAAGACAGATTGTTAGACTTTTTGATATAAAAAGCTTGAGCCAGGCTGGCATGCCAGAACGGCCTCTGTGGCCAGAGTTGTGTCACCCACGTGGCATTCCACATCGGGGCGGAGGGCACTGTGGGGGATGGTGGGCAGTGGGCTCCAGTCAAGCTTGGAGGGTTTGGGGCTTTCCGTGACGGTCACACATGGATTCACGTATGCTTCTGTGGCCTGTGGGGTCAGCTGAGGCGGTCACAGACCACCGGGTGGGCGGCCGCCCTCTTGTCCATGCTGCAGGCTCTTGTTACATCAGCATCCTCTTCCTTTTCTCTCTGATGCCCCACAACCGGCCACTTCCCGTGGCCTCGGGCCGCACCCCTCCCCGCATCCCTCCCCCGGCACAGGGCCAGCCCGAATTCTCCGTCAGGTCTGGGCAGGGTCTGCACAAAGACAGTCTACAAATGGACCTCTTCCCTCACTGCCCCGTGTTCCTGGATACAGACTGCCTGTGGGGATCACCTGGAAGCATCTTCAGGGACTTTCATAAGAGGAATTTCTAGCTCCTTGTTGGGCCTAATGGTGGCTTTGGTCTGAGTCCGTAATTCCAGTCCTCACTGAGAATAACTGCAACTTCCACAGGCTGACTGAGAGGACGCAGGCCCACTCGGGTCCAGGAGAAAGCTCCGCAACCACGACAAGGGCCTGAGCAGCGTGGACCTGCACTGCGCTCATTTGAAGGTTATATCTGCATGTAAGATACCAGACGCATCCCTGCCCAAGAGAGGAGGGCCGGGGAGCCCCTGCACCGCAGGCACCACCAGGGGCTTGCTTGTGAGCCCGAGGCTCAGGCTCCCTGTCCTTTCTTTGCGGGAACCACGTGAGTAACTATTGATACATTTTTCTCATCATTCAAGTCTCTTCAAAAGATAAGTGATTGTTTAAAACAAAAATGCTAACAATGCACTTGCTGTTTATAACACATTATAAGTGAGACGTGTGACAACAACACAGAAGTCGGGAGGGAGGAAGTGGAGAAGGATGCTAGGAGGTCCCTCTACCACATGCGTGCTACAGTGTCGCTCGAAGACAGACCAGGATAAACTGAAGACTGTTGTACGACCCCCGACGCAACCACTAGAATAACAAAACAAGGATCACAGCTAACAAGCCGACAAAGGACGTAGAGCCAGACCCCAGAAACACTCAGAAAAAGAGCACAGATGGGGCACGCTGAAAACAAACACAGGATGACAGGTTTAAACCCATCAACAATCACATTAGAGGTAAATGGTCTAAGCGCCCTAGATGAGAGGCAGAGATTGTCAGACTGGATGAAAAAGCAGGACCTGACTGTGTACCATCTACAAGAAACACCCTTTAAATAAAGGGCCAAACAAGTTAAAGAAAAAGAATGAAAAAATAATACACAGTGTTGACATAATGGAAAGAAGGCTGAAGTGGCTTTGTTAATGTCTCAGTCGACTCCCAGCAAAGACTATCACCAGGATAGGGATGGTCGTTTCATAATGACAAAGGGATCGATTCTCCAAGGAGACACTAGCCAGCCCTAGGGGTCTAGTGGTTAAGATCCCACACTCTCACCACTGCGGCCCCGGTTCCCGTCCGTGGGTTGTCATACTGCTGTGGCTGCGTGTGGCTGTGATGCTGAAAGCTATGCAACCAGGATTTCAAATACCAGCAGGTCACCCATGGTGGACAGGATTCAGTGGAGCTTCCAGACTAGACAGACTAGGAAGAAGGAGCTGGCCACCCAATTATGACACATTGACCATGAAAACCCTGTGAGTAGCAGCAGAGCATTTTCTGATACAGCGCCAGAAGGCAAGAGGGTGGTGCAAACAGACGGGACAGGTTCCCTCTGCTGTGCACGGGGTCACTAGGATCAGAATCAACGTGACAACACTAACAACAGGCAGAGCCTCTAACCCACGGTGCAAACACTGACAGAAGCCGGGAGGGGCCCCTGCAGCGGGAGGGAGGGGGAACTGAGGCCAGCCTGTGGGCTCTCACCTTCCCAGTGGTTTCGATGCCTCTGATGATGCACAGGTACACGATTGCCCAGGAGGCCACCAAGCAGACCAGCAGCTGCCACTGGATGGAGCCACTGTCATTGATGTCAGCTGTGACGTTCAGCGTCTGCCGATACCAGAAGTAGCTCACGGAGCTGCTGCGCTGGCATTCTTCCACGAACCCTGGAGCCAGGAGGGGCCCATCACAGCTGGCCACCAGGCTTGAGCTGGGATTCAGGCTTTGCGGACCACCGCCCAGGAGCACAGGCTGCGGACAGCCGGGCCTGGAGCTGCTGCCGGAGCCCTGGGCCCACCAGCTGGCCCCTGAGTGAGGGCCAGGGAGTGAGGGTCAGCAGCTGGTGCCTCCCACCGCCCAGGACGTCCAGCTTTGGCCTATGGGGCAGATGAGGGGAGCCTCCTTCCCCAGGGCTGGCCTCATTCGGCAGGTGCCACTCACAACGTTTGTTATCAGCCAGAGGCAAGAAGGGAAAGAGGGTTAACCCAGCTTTGTGAGCACACATGAAAATCACACTGTTGCCCAAGTCTCGGAGAGCCCCCAACATGGAGCACTCGACGGAGGCCTGGCCTAAAGGCGTAAGTCAGCGAAGCAGTGGCTATCGCCTACCCTCTTCTCACCGGGCAGCGCACTGCGCAAGGGCACGCCAGCCGTGCTAGGAACAGACGGGGTCTCCGTGGGTCCCCAGGCCCCGCAGCGAACAGCGGGTAAAGGGAATGTGATTTCAAGTGTGCTGCGTCAGGGAGATGCGAAGGGCTCCTCGGGCAGCACCGAGCTCCCTCCAGGCCCCGGGCGTTACCTGTGAGGTTGCGGTCGGGCGGGCAGGCGCTCCAGGGCAGCGGGTTCTGGAAGGAGTTGAGGAGGTACCACAGCACCCACGTCAGGACGGTGTTGTAGTAGATGCCGATGAGAGAGGACACTGTGAAGCAGCCCAGCCCTGCGGGCGCCAGCGAGGATCAGTGTCTCTCCATCAGCCACCTCCCTGTTAAGAACGCCCTGACGCCCGCTTCACCATTTCCACTGCCCTGGTCACTCCAAGGGGATCCCGCCACCCCCCCCGCCCCCCACCGCTGACCCGCATTGGTCACACTCTTCCCTGGGCGATGCCTCATTTTTATGGCCATGCGGGCCGTTCTTGGCTACGTTCTTGGGCCACGGTCCACTGGCTTTCTAGGTTGTTTCCAGATGGATGGGTCTTTCAGACGGTGCTGCAGCCACCAGAGCGGCGTGTCACAGGCCCGGATGGTGACGCTGAGACCCTCTCACCGCAGCGCCCCATCTTGAGGGTGTGCAAGGAGTGTGTGCCCTCTGGGTGTGCCGTCATCCAGGCTTCTCTGATGCCCACGAGCTCCCAGGACGTGCAGGCTCAGCGCTCGTGTGTGATAGGCCCGGAGTGATTCAGGGCAACTGGCTCCTGCTCCGTGGGGCTGGGCCCATCGCCTCCTCCTCCTCCTCCTGCACCGGAGCTCACCCCACACAGCGCCCTGCACTCTAGTCTTTCCTCGTGCTTTTGGGGGAGCCACTCGAGGCTCCTGGAAGAGGCCTCCTCCTAGTGTGATGGGAGCGCTCCCACACGGATCTGCTGCCTGGGTCTCCCTGAGCCTTTACACCTGCTTCCTCTGTAGGTTCGAAACCCCTGACAGTGACCAGGGACATGCAGCACACGTGACCTGCAGCCCCGGTCCCCGCCCTCCCAGAGCACACGCAGGCAGGAGTCAGGGGTGGCCACATACCTATTCCACCCAGGTAGGGCGAGATGGTTGTCCAGACCCCGATGCTGCCCTTCCGCAGGCGCTGGCCGATGGCGAGCTCCATGTGGAAGAGCGGGATGCCCTCGAAGGCCAGGGCGATGAAGTAGGGGATGAGGAAGGCCCCTGCGAAGAGCCGGGGTCAGCAGACACTCGCCGTTCGCCCAGCGGTGCCTCAGGCTGGAGGACAGCACGTGGGAAAGCACCCCAGAGGCCTCCCGGAGACAGGGAGGCCAGCCCGAATGTCCCGGCCCCTGCTCGGGGCAGCCGAGACCCCCAGCGGGGCTGCCACGCCCCTTCCTGACTTTAGTTCAGTGTGTGTGACCAGGTGACCATAGAAGCGGGGCTGGGACGTGAGGCCCTGGGCCGTGTCTTGGGGGGTGTGAAGGGCTCAATAAGGAGCCGGCTCACCCCCTGAGCCAGGACGTGGGGTCTGAGCGAGACCCCCGTCCAATTCAGAGTTAGCTCAAGGTGCTTCATTGTTTGAGACGCCCGGTGACGTCCTCCTGGAGCTTCGGGGTCCAGCAGTTAACAGTCGGTCCATCTTCGGGAAGAACGAGGCGGTGGGACAGGACCTAGGAGCTCGGGAGCCTCCGGGATGCGCCTCCCAGATGATCAGCCCCTTTCATCAGTGTGGTTCCTGAAATTCTCGAGTGTTCGGAAGTGGGGCTGACAGAGGTGGTAGAGGCCGTCCAGCGGACTCGGGGCTTTGCTGCTTGTTTGACCCCCCGCAGTACCCAGGACAGGCCTGGTTTGCTGTCGCTCCGTCACTGGGCAGCCTCCCCCGTCATGGCACTTTGGTGGTGAGTTTCATAACAAATGGGCTGTTTTGTTCCTACTGAGACCCTGGCCTCTCCCGGGAGGGGAGCTGGTTTTTGTTCACGGAATGTTGGAGAAGGTCGATGCCTCAGGTGGTTTCTCAAGCTTCGCCCTGAGTTGGGGCAGGGACCTGTTTCTCCGCCCCTTCACCTGCAGCGTCACCCCTGCATCCTTGTCCGCATCCTAGGTCCAGATGCTGGGAGAAGGACACCCACAGCGATGGTGGGAGGAGGGCTCCACGTCCCCAGGAGGGAGCATGCACGGTGGGGAGACGTGTCGACCGGCCCCGCGGCACCGAGGGAAGAGCAGGCAGAGGACACAGCGACGCCCTTTGCACTTGAGCCAGCGGCGAGGAGCTGAGTGCAAGGCTCGGTCCACAGGTGCCAGGAGCGCGGGTGGGGCCTCGGCCTCTCCTGGAGCCCAGACGCGGAGGCTCCTCCACGCCCCGATGGACCCCGTGGATGTTCTCCTGCTGTCGAGAGGAGAGTTGAGTCCCCGGTGCCCGTGTTGGCACCTCAGTGCCCCTGGGGCCGCGCTGCGATGGGTGGCCGTTCACAGCGGTCTGTGGGCTTTGGGTGGACACGTGTCACCACTTAGATGCTCCAGGACCAGGGCGTCTCTTCCTCATGGGCACGCACAGGGCCTGCACAGCGCCAGGGGCAGCCCTGACTTTCAGGCCTCCTGACCTATGGTGCTGGCCGAAATGGACGCCGGTCAGAGATTTCAAGGCTCTTCCACGCTCCCTGCGCCTCCCCCACTTGGCAGGGGCGGCCCGGGTCCAGCCTCCCAGAGCTGTTTCCACGAGCCACACTCAGGCCTGAGCTGTTTGCCAGCACAGCCTCCCTCTGGTTTTCTCGTCACCTTCAGGTGTTTTGACACTGGGTCAGGGCCCTGGAGAGAGCAGGTGGCCACAGAGCCCTCGGCCCACGTCAGCTCCTACACCGGACTCCACGGCCAGCGTTTGGGGCAGAACAGTGCCTATTGGTGTCACCTATACAGTAGCAAGAAGACAAAGGAGCATGAGAGAAGAAAGTCGAATTCCGGGGGGAACTCCGCCTCGATGGAAGCACTGGACGCCCAGGGACAGCCAGCACCTGCAGGCCAGGGCTTGGAGCCAGGGGTGTGAACAAAGCCAGGTCCCCCCGGTGCTCCAGGCAGGGAGAGGTGCCATTCACAGCACTGGGGGCCAGGCGCACAGGGAGGAGCCCTCCACAGCCCACATTTCTCCATCCTGCGTGGTGGGGTCTCAAGCAGGTGTGCAGAACTCCCAGCCACCCTGGGGCCGCCGCGCGTACACCTGCAGCGTGGTGAGGGCAGACACAGGGAGCAGCCTCAGGGGCCCTGGAAGTGGGCGCCTGACTGTGGGACAGGGCTCCAGGTCACAGGTACAGGATCTGCTGTCGAGAAGGGCTGTAGGCTCCCAGCCAGCCAGGCCCCGGGCCCCACGGCCCCTGCACTCTGTGGGGAAGGTCACAGCTAGACGGGGCCAGGACGGGCCTGGAGCCCAGGTGGGCACTTAGGAGCCAGCTGAGGTCAGCGAGGCAGGGACCGCCCAAAGGAAAAGATCCCAGGGAGGGAGGGAGGGAGCTTCCCTTTGTGGCCGACTCTGCCACGTTTTGTGGAGACGAGAACGAGGAGCATTCTGTGATTACAAGATTGAAGCCATATGGTCGGAACATCGACTTTTCGCCTTACATGCATTTTAGCTTTATTCCGGCCTCCGTGGGGACAGTAAGTCAGATAAAACCAAACGGTTTTGGAGGATGGGGCTGGCAGCCAGAGGACCCAAACACGTGACCAGAGTGTTGGCACTTTCAGCCCCTCCCCCAGCCTCCGGGGGGCGACGGAGATGGAGCCAATCACAGAGGGCCAATGATTTAATCCCTCACCAGTGGTCACTCCACAGGGCAGGGTTTGGAGAGTCCTGTGGAGGTGCTGGGAGGGTGGGGAGCTCCGAGCCCTTCCCCAGACCTGGCTCCACGCGTCTCTTCCCTCTGGCTGTTCCGAGTCGTATGCTTTATAAAAGCCTGAGGATAGGAAGTAAAGCATTGTCTTGAGTCCTGTGAACCGCTCTAGCAGATGTTGGAACTGAGGAGCGGGTCATGGGACCCCTCGAATTTGTAACCAAATTGGACAGAAGCTGTGGGTAGCCTAGGAACCCACTACTGAGACTGGTGTCAAGGTTGGGGGGCGTCTTGTGGGGCTGTGGAGTCTGCACTAAATCCAGGTAGACAGTGTCCAGAGTGTGTTCAATGTTGGGACATCCAGACGGTGTCCGCTGAGAGCTGGAGGGCTAGCTGGTGTGGGGAAGGCCCTCGCACGTGGTGTCAGAATATTCAGAGCAGAAGAGGGGTTTTTCCTTTAGCACCAAATAGCTGGCAGACATGATCTGTCTTCACTTCACGCAGCCTGTTGGCTGGAGATGGGGCGATTGCTGTGGACGGCGGGTCTCGTTCATCATTGCCCACGTGGTAGGTGTGGGCCGGCCCCGCTCGTCAAGCACGAGCGACGCTGGATGCAATGCACGTGAGTTCAATCCACCAAGAAAGTGTTGGGAAGAAAAAGGTCTGTCGGGAACAGCCACAGCAGCTGATGAAAACACTCCTGAGATCTGCATGGAGAGAGCCTCACGAGGACAGAAAGGAGCCCCTGGACAGGAACGTGACGCGCCGTCTTCCAGGGGGATGACTGGGTGTTGTCAAGGTGGAAATGCTAAGTCGGTCTAGAAATTCAGTGCAATGCCAGTGAAACCCTGAGGGTCTTTCATGGAAACCGACAACCTGGCTGTAATGTTGATACGAGAAAGTAACAGCCAATAACATTTAAAAGAAGAATAGCGAACAGGACTTTCTGTGCTGCATCAAGGCTTATTATAAAACCCTAGGCATTAGTACAGCGTGACTTCCCGTGCCAGAATCCATACGTCTCTCAAGCCAACGGGAGCAGAAGTTGGTTCAAATCAGTGCGGAGATCACAGCCCACTTAATTGATTGACCCCACTCGTGGCCGCAAATGCGTCCTGGGGTGAAACCATAACCCTGCGAGTGTTTAGTCTCAATGGCCAGCCTGGGCCTGGCGCTGGGTGTGGTGGTTCTGCATTCCTTTGATTTAAAGGTGCTAAGACATCATCTAACAGCTCACCATGGGAGGATATTTATGTGATCGAGTCACTGTCAGTCCTCCTCTAAATGCTGCGCTAAACCTGTCACAATGCTGCCTTCAAAGTCTTGCCTTCGAAGAGAAAATTTACCAAAACAAGTGACTATGAGTGGGAGAGAAGGTGATATTCACCTCAGTAGGAATGAGTTTGTGCAAATTAAAAATTCGAGCTTGTCACTCACAGCTTATTTTCAAAACAGTCAGTGGTGGTGAAGGCGAGGCCGACGAGGGCCCCCCCACCCACAGGGAGCTTTTTTGAGGAAAAGGATGAGTGACAGAAAGTTAAATATTTTGTGACACGCAATGCGTGATTTCACATCTGGAAATGGAGCCCAAAGAATGTCTCAGAAATGGGGCCCTGAGCCCACGGACAGGGAGGGGGCGTGACTGTTCTCGGCCCTGGTCTTGGGGGGCACGGCCACTTCGCCCACCTCCTGTCGCTGTTGGGTGTCGGGAACACGGATCTGGGTGGGAAGCTCCCGGAAGCCCTGTGGCAGCAGATCTGAGCCAGGAGGGTGACCGGTCACGGGCAGTGAGACGGTCCTGGACGTTTGGTGGCCGCCTGCGTCCGGCCTGCCCCCGTCTCGCCCTCCTGACGCAGCCAGCAATGGGGGCGCCTCCAGGACCACCCGAGATCTGCCGCCCCTGCTTCAGGGGGTTTGCGCTTTCTGGGGATCCTCAGACTGGAGCCCAAAGGGATGGTTCCTCTCTGGGTCACGCGTATCGCTAGTTCCGGGGAGCAACATCTCCCACTTGAGCTACCAGCAACCCACCTCAGGCCAGTTGGAGACATGGGCACTCTCCTCCCCCCATCTGGTGGCCGGCGGGTCCCTGGGGGTGGGGGGCCTCACCTCCCCCGCGGGTCTGGGGGCTCACCTCCTCCGTAGGTCTGGCACAGATACGGGAACCTCCAGATGTTGCCTAGACCCACGGCGAACCCCACGCAGCTCAGGAGGTACTGGAGCTTGTTGTCCCACTTGGGCCTCTCGTCCCCGCTGCCGTCCCCAAGCAGGTCTGGTCCTGGGGCGAGTGCCATGCCCACAGCTCACTCCTGGCAGCCCGGCCCCACGGAGCCCTCCCGAGCCTCTGCTGGGGTGTGGAGGCCAGGAGCTGTCTCCCCCTGGGGTGTCTTTTTTGGTTATTTAAAACAAAAACCAGTGGAGCAGTTAATTGGTAACCCAGGCCAGGCCCTCTGTAACTCAGCTGTCCCTCCCTGACCCCTGGCCTCCGCCCCACGTTCCACACCCGATGCAGGCAGCCTGTGGGCTGGGCCACCACCAGCGCTAGAGCCGTTTTCCTTGGCGGCCTCCCGTTCCCCGTCGGGGATGCTCAAGGACTCCCGAGACTGCGGTGTTGTTCTATAAAAATATTTACTTTTTAACTAACCTTTTGATTGTGAGATAATTGCGGACTCACACGTCACTACAGGACGCAGTGCAGAGAACCTGTGCGCCCAGCTTCCCCCGTGGCGACATCTTCACATATCTTGTCAGTGTCACACCCAGTGTTGAGGCCGACAGTCATTCAGGACACGTCTGCCACTGGAGGGTCGCTCCTGCCCCTTTTAGAACCACACCCACCTCCTACCCCGACCCTAACCCCCCCCCCCGCCCCCAGCAACATCCGATCTGCTCTCCTTCGCCCTAGTTTTATCATATAAATGTCAAGAACGTCACATGAACGGAATCACACAGGGGGCCCTTGGGATCAGCTTCCTTGGCTCAGCCTCTTTCTCTGAACCTCTAATGCTGGGTCGGCTGTGGCTGAGCCGGCTGCCGTCCACGTTCACAGTCACAGAAGGGGCCTGGCTCCTGTCCAGTGGGGGCCGTCAGGAATACGCTGTGACCACGTCTGCACATGGGTTTTTGCGTGGACATAGGATAAACCCCAGGGCAGGATTGCAGGCTGCTTGTTGTGCCGTGTTTATTTTTAAGCCACATTTATTTTTCAGAGATTTCCAAGCTTCTCAGACTGTCCAAGGGTGGACTTTCCGTCTGGTTCCAAATGTTCCTCTTCTGAAGACATCGAGTGAGCTCCAGAAGCCCCACCCTCACCTCTGCCTCTGTCGGCGCCCGGCCGATCCGGCCCGGGACCCCACCCTGCTGCCCAGGAATCCGCTCCCAGTGTAAGCCCGCCACGTGCCACGGATGGGAGCTCGGAGGGAGTCGGGGGGCCTGCACTGCAAAGGAGCTCCCAGGAGTGGGGACAGGATTGGGAGGAGCTCCCCCCACCCCCAGCACCCACGGCCACCCCTGGTGACACCTGGCATGACGGGGGAGGGGTGGGGAGGAGTGGGCGTGGTGAGGTTGGGGGTACTTTTAAGGAAAGGGGAGGTGAGGGGAGGAGAGGGAGGCGTGGCCTAGCCCCCAGGTGCCCGCACAGGTGTTTCCCACCATCCTTCCGACTCCCTTTCTTGCCACCCAACCCTGCTGACCTCACCAGCAGCCTGCCCATCCTGAGGCCAAGGGCCACCCCTGCCTGCGCTTAACGGGGCACCCCGGGCAGTGGAAGGGGCCCCCCGCCACATCCTGGGCTCTGCGGACACAGCCTCGCGGCGCCTTCAGAGAAAATCTCCAGAAACCAGAACAGCAGTCCCACGCCGTCTGTTTGTGAAATGGGCATCACCATAGGCTCATCCCTCTGCATTCAGAAACAACACTCAGGCCGAGAATATGAAATAGAGTGATTTACTGAGACAGACACACGTTATGCCCACAAAACTGGCATTTCTGACAATTTGCAAAAACACCAAGTCTGTAAAACAGGGCAGGACTCAGGTGACATAAATGCCTGGATCAGCCCCACCCGGTCAGCCCAAGAGCCTCTGCTCCCAGGCATCCGTATCGACGGGCACTGACAGATGTTTCCCAGTCGGAGATCAGAAAGCTTTGTGGGGAGGAGGGGTGAAGTCCTGAGGAAACCATCGGCACCGGGGGAGGGGTGGGCAGGGCGGCATGGGGCCTTGGGCTTCCTGGCAGGTGCATGCCGTCATGGCCCTGGATGGAGGGTCCTGGGCAGCCACCTGCTCTGCCTGTGGAGTTTGTAGATCATGGCGTCCAGGTGACCAGTGCATAAAGGACTTGATGTGCCGAGGTGTTCGGAGGTGCTGGGCTGGGACCTTGGGGCTGAGGTCTGTGGTCACTGCTGGACAGGAGGCCCTGAGCAGGGTGGAGTGCACCAGGACGCCTCCCAGGGGGAGGAGCAGGGCACCGGGGCCCACCCTCCACTGGGTCTCCCATCCCTGCCCAGAGAATTCTCAGAAAGTCCAGTTTAACTCAACCTTCCAGAATTTTCCGTGGAAAGTGGAGGTGACTAGTCTGTTGGAACAAACACCCCAAGTGGCAGGTCACTTTGGCTGAGGTGGGCTGTCACTTCCCACGCCCGGAGGGAAGCACCGAGGCCGCCTCCAGGGAGTGTCCCCATGTGGATGGTCTTCCGGGGGCTTCACAGTCCCTGACGTTGCTCAGGACACGTGGACCGTCCTCAGGCTCGGTGGCCGAGGCCGAGTTAGCGTATAACTCGTCTTTTCCAACATCTGGCTAAAAGTTCAGCTAATTCCTTTTAAGAAGGCGCAAAGGGTGTTTCTTCCTTAAATTACGCCAAGTTGGGTTTTGTTTAACTGCTCATCTATCTGTGGCAGCCAGAAGCAATGATTAAACGAGCGAGCATTCTTCAAGCCGGAATCTTGCCAAGGCTCGGAAACTCTTCAGGGGCTGGCAGACCCGCAGGACCTGGGAGGATCCGGCCAATTTCCTCCAACTCACTGGCCCGGGGGCCGCGGCCTCATCCAGACAGGTTTGAGGAGGGTGTGCCTGGGCACGGTGTAGAGGCACCCCCACTTCACCGTGGGAGTTCCCAGCAAGGGGAAGGGGTGGTGGACAATGACTCTCTCCAAGCAGCCGAGGCAGCAACGCACCCCTGTCTCCCACGGGGTGAGCGCAGCAGGCGTGGCCTCCCCACCCTGCGGCCTTGGATCTCCCTCAGAGCATGGGCAGGGCGTGGCAGGACCGAGCAGAGTCTGTTCCCCACCACATCCATGCCGAGGGCAAGCGACAGGGCAGCTGGGCCCCACGTGGCAGGTGTGTGTGCTGCAGGCAACGTGCATATGTATACACAAACACATGCCCCTGCACGCACACACATACACACTTGCACACATGCACATAGCTGTGTGTACACATACACACAAACACACATGTGCACAACGCAATACACACTCTCACACATGTACGTACTCTCATGCCCATGGCATGCATATATACATGCTCATGTATACTCACAGGGATATATACACATACTCACATGTGTATGCACATACACTTCACACATTCAAACACATATACACACTCATGCATATGCACACACATGCAAACATGCGTTTGCACACATGTACATGTATACACATATACACTCACACGTGCACATTCACACAGCATGCATGCACTCACACATACATATACTCGCGTGTGCATATTTATACGTGCCCACACATGTATACATACTCACTCATGTACGCAAACATATAGGCACAGACTCACCTGTGCATACACACATGCACACACCCATACAGCATACATACGTGTGTCACATATGCGCACACACTCACACATGTACACACTCACATGTGAACACACATATACACACACAAGTACACCCAGCCCCTCCTCAGATACCAGGCGCCACATGCTGTGGGAGGGGCCACTCAGCACTTCAGGTCCCCGTTCACGGAGGCCGTGGACGGCGCGCTGACCAGCCCCTGGTGGTCCCCTGGCCTCTGGCAGTAGTTCCTGATGAGCTTGTAGATGGCAAAGCCGGGGATGGAGAGGCAGGGCACACCGGCCACGATGACAACCACGACGTACACCCAGCCCGGGTACGAGGTCCTCCGGGAATTGGGAAATTCCTCCTGGGGACAGAGGGAGCACAGGGTGAGCAGACACAAAGGCAGCCAGCAGGGTCTCCTTCAGGGGCAAACGTCTTCTGACCCCACTGAGTCTCACCTCCTGGCCTCGTGGGGGAGGGGAGGGAGACCAAGGCCCCGCCCCCACGCCCGCCTCCTCCCAGGATGTGAGCCCTGACTCCCCTCCCTGGCGGCCCCTGTCCACTCACATAGGCAGGGTCCCAGACGCTGTATGTCAGCTCCTTGGTGACCTCGACCACGAAGAAGGCCAGGAAGATGACCAGCATGATCAGCGGGCTGACCAGTCTCCACATGACTTGCCAGAAGATGTTGGGCTTGTGGCCGACCATGAACTCGATGTCCCTGTTGAACCTGGAGGGGCAGAGGCCAGAAGGGGGCCGTCACCCGCAGGACATCGCCGGGCCTCGAATCCCGTCAAGGCAGAGGGCAGGGCAGCCTCCTATGTCAGACGAATGGCCGCCGTCCTGTGACGCCGCACCCTGGCCTTTCCCTCGTCACACTTCCAGCCATGCTTCCAGCAGAGATGCGCCTCCCTGAGACGACGCCCGTCAGCACGGCAGAAGCCGTCCCTGGGGGCCTTGGGAGACCTCTGCCGTCCTCGGGGCCTGCCCAGCGCTCTGACTAGTAGACTCTCGTCCGAGGCCTCATCTCCCCCACGTGCCCTTGGGGGACACTTACACAACGTCGGGGTCACTACTTCTGCAGGAACAGAGGAGGGAGCCCATCCAGGCCGCTCCCCCCAGCCTTCTTGGCAGGGCAGCGGCCTGAGCCTGGACAGCCCCGCCATCTCCCACCCATCCTGTGCCCAACTCTCGTCTGCACAAATGAGTCTGTGGAAGTCTGAGTGGAGTGGGCAGAATGTAAACGGGAGCTGACCAGGACACCGGTGAACCAGAGGACACTTCTGGAAAGCACCATCCCAGGCCTTGTACGGGCAGACCCCAGGAGCACGGTGCCAAGTCCCCCTGCTCGGGGCCATTCCTCCTTGAGGCAGGCCGCACCGTCCCCCAGGCCAGCGTCCAAAACTGTCCTTGGGCCGTTCACGTGAACATGCCTGCTCCACAGCCAGCAGCATGGCAGGCAGCCACACACGCGTTTCCGGCTGAACATTCTTCCCCAGTATCTACTGATGTCACACTGAATGGGTCTGCACATGCCTGCTGCCTGGGCTGGTTCGCATGTGCTGCCTAAATAAACACCCTGCACACGTGTCCCCACACACGCGTGCTCTTGGTGATGCATAGCAGGCATCCCAAAGCAGGGGCCCCTGGAAGAGCTGGTACACGTTTAATGTCGTCATCGGCAGCTGAGGCTGTGGCGACTCCAGCCCCGGCCAAGAACACAGGCATGTTTTCTGGATCCCACCGTCTACGGAGACGGCGGGAGGCCCTGAATTTTGGCCAACGGACGGCCACCTTTCTTTGCCTGAGGCTCTGTCTGTCTGGGGAGGCGCTCTCTCCCCCAAGAAAGGCCCAGAGCACCTGGCATGGCAGCACCTCTGGCCGTGGACCCTGAGTTGGAGTAAAACACTCAGCTCCCTCCCCCTGGGCAGGCGCCCAGTGGGGTCCCACCAGGAACCCGTCACCCACACTAAGGCCCCTGCCCCCTCCACAACCAGCCCTGCCTCTCCGCCTGCACCAGCTCCCAGGGGCAGCTTCCAGCCGACTGGGACGCAGACGTCCTTCTGCATTTCTTGGTGCATCTGTTCACAGCCTCCTTGGCCCCACGGCGTATGAGGCTTAACCCTGCTTGTCTCTGCAATGCAGCTGTTTTCCTGGCTTCCTATTTGCTTTTTGACGTTGCTTGTGATACTCTGGTTATAACACTTTTTAATCACAAGATCAGATCAGAGGTGTCTGTGTTTCCTTCCTGTTTCCTTCGTGGGTGCTGTCCCCTCCGTCCCAGGACTGTGCAGAGGCTCCTCCCTCTGCTGTCAGAGTTCATCTTTGTACGTCAGTCTGGGAGCATCTGGGAGCTGGAGGGGGTGTGGTTTGGATTGCTCTGGACGGGCTTCCATCCGGGATCCATGTCATCTCCCACCACCCTCCTAGGTACCAGGCCCTTTGCTGCTACACAGCCCCCACCAAGGGACATGCACGTGGTCCCGTGTCGCGGGTGCCCGTCTCCCAACTTGCCCTGAACACTGTGCTGCTCACCCCACCGTGGGGACGTCCTCTGACTGTGAGACACCCCGTCCCTCCTACCTGTCCACACCGTACACGTAGACCACGGAGAACATCTCACAGAAGGCCACGATGAGCAGGGGGATGGAGCCAGCGTAGTTGTCCATCAGGGAGAGCCAGTACTGGCCCGAGTTCAGCGTGAAGACAAAGGTGATGAGATAGGACCCCAAGCAGAGGAGGCCTGTGGGCGGACAGGGCACAGAGCGGCTGTGGCCAGAGGTTCCATGTCTGCCGCATGGCTGTGACCCCCGAAGGCCGTCCTCACTGCTCTGCTAGCACGGCCCGGCCCCAAGTACCTGTGACCAGCTCCTTGGGCCACTTTTTGGGGATGACCTTGAGGTCCTGCAGGGGCACGACCACACCTTCTACGTTCCCGAACATGGACGACAGGCCCAGGCAGAAGAGCATGATGAAGAAGAGCACAGACCACAGCGGGGACACCGGCATCTTGGTGATGGCCTCGGTGAAGACAATGAAGGCCAGCCCGGTGCCCTCCACGCCCTGCAGGTGGGCAGGTGTGTCACCCCTGGCACATGCTCCCGGGCCCCCCAGGCGTGCTCCCTGAGGGCCCTGCAGGTGGGCAGGTGTGTCACCCCTGGCACATGCTCCCGGGCCCCCCAGGCGTGCTCCCTGAGGGCCCTGCAGGTGGGCAGGTGTGTCACCCCTGGCACATGCTCCCAGGCCCCCCAGGCGTGCTCCCTGAGGGCCCTGCAGGTGGGCAGGTGTGTCACCCCTGGCACATGCTCCCGGGCCCCCCAGGCGTGCTCCCTGAGGGCCCTGCAGGTGGGCAGGTGTGTCACCCCTGGCACATGCTCCCGGGCCCCCCAAGCGTGCTCCCTGAGGGTCCCGCTGGTGGCCTGCTCACATCCCTCTGCTTCCCTGTCAATCACTGATTGCGCACAGCACTGGACAGCTCTCCCCCCCGAGCCCGCACTGTGCAACCGTCGGGCTGATCTGAACCATTGTATGAATACCACATCCCGTCTTTAAGCCCAAGTGTACTATTAAAGCTGGACTATGTTTTGCAACCAGGAAGGGGATCACACTGTCCGGCAGCGGTCAGGGCCCCAAGTGCCCAAGCAGATACACGCACCAGAGGTGCAAGGACCACCGTCTGCTCGCTGATAGGGCAGCCCCTACCCTGCACACTTCCTGGGATGCACCCTGCACTGCCCAGGTTCAGAGTGATGAGTGATGTCAACGGGGCTTGAGTGAGGCCCCTAAACAGATACCCTGGTCGTGTGGCCTGTCCACCAGGCTAGAGCAGACCACGAGGCAGGCTGTGTGCGCGCACAGGCTCGCGGTGAGTAAGCATGAAGCTCTGCACCGCTGGGCTGACCCTGTGCCGCTGCATCCGGCCCCACGAGGGTCAGCAAGCCTTCTGGCACCGGCTCCTCCCTCCCGGGGTCAGTGCTCCCAGTGGTAGAACCTCCAGAGAGAAATCTGTGCTTAGGGGGCTGAGGGACTAAGTCAGAGCCGTGGGGGCCCAGAGGCTCCTGCAGGGAATCGGCTCCAGGATCTGATGTGGGACATCCCAGGGATCCCGTCAGAGGACAAGACCCTTGTGCAACTTAGAGCATGCAGTGAGTTCCCAGCGCCCCTGGCAGGGCAGGAGGGCTGGAGGCGGGGCCTCATGGGGGCAGGGAAGCTCAGTGGGAACTCAGCTCCAGGGGAAGCTTGGTGTTTGCCCAAGGGTCCTTCGCTCCCGTCTCGCGGCTCCCGAATGGGAGAGGGCTGCCCCAGAGGGACTGACCTGGGAGAGGAAGGAGTTCAAGTCGCAGGTCTGGAAACTCAGCTTGGCGTAGGCCGCGGGGTCAGTGGCGTTGCACCATCGCTGCATCTCCTCAAAGTTCTCCTGCGTCACGTTGCCTTCGGGCAGATCGAACGCGTTGATGAGCGTCAGGATATTCCTGTAAAGAGCGCAAGGCTGGCTCTGGCTCTGGGTGGGTGCAGGCCCGGTGGGCTCTTTGGAGGCAGGGCGCACAACCCCCAGGACGGGCTGGCACAGTGGCCGCGGGAGCGCGAGCTGGCCACTTACGTGCTGAAGCACTCATCGTAGCGCTCGGTGGCGCGGAAACCGATGACGGAGTAGATCACCGTGGCTGCGAACACGGACGTGAAGCCATTGATGATGGACACGATCACCGAGTCCTTCTCGCAATTGTTGCTGTGGACGAGAGTGGCGTCTGGTCACAGCAGGCCCAGGGACGAATGTGCACCCAGCGCGACCCGCGCGGGCACACAGCGGGGCTGAGGACGGCGCAGAGCTCCATCAGGGAGCGAGCCTGAGAGGCCCACCTGCAGCTATGCCAGGGGCAGCATGCAGCCCGCCGTTCTCCTGTGACCCTGCGGGCCGCGAGCACAGGGTGGCAGGGGGCCTGTCCCCAAGCCCCACACCTACAGTTGCTGGCCCCTCGCTCTTGCTGTTCTGACACTTCATGATGCCACCCCTATGAACCTGGTGGCCCCTGACACCCCCAAAAGCACTGAGGACCCCTTGAGCAGACTTTAACCCCCAAAGCTGGAGCTGGAGACCCCTGTGTTCAAGTTCCTGCTTGGCCAGAGCTGTTCTGGGCCTGGGCGGTGAGCACTCAGCCTCACGCTGTCAGGATTGCCCCCCGGGCCTTGCACTCCACCAGCCACAAAGGCCTCGAGGAATCGGCTTGGGCCAGGCCCCCTGCCCCACCTGTACCTCCTCCCCCACCCCCCCCACATGCTCTTCCCCCCCAACCTCCTCCTGCCTTCCCCTGGCCCTCCCTGGGGGTCCCACTTCCTCCTGGTTGAGGATCCCCGATCTCCACCTGAACACCTAAAGCCATCCTCAGCTCTACACGCCCAGAACCCAGCCCCTGACCTTCCCAACTCAACCCCACAGTCTCCCCACCCTCCACCCTCTGTTGATGCTAACACTATCTTTCCAGATGCTTCCATCCAAAGCCTCGATGCTTAGCCCTCGGGAAATGCAAGTGAAACCACAGTGAGATACCACCAGGGTGGCTGGAATCAAAGAGCCAGATGATAGCAAGTGTTGGTGAAGGTGCCCTGCTAGGTGGCTGGTGGGCCCGTGAAATGGGGCCGCCGCCTCAGAATCAGCTCCTCCAATGTTCAAACCTAGAGCCAGCACATGACCCATTCCTAGGTGGACCCAAGAGAAATGAAAACACATGTCTGCACAAAAGTGTGCGCACAGATGTTCACAGCAGAGTTTTCACAACAGCCAAAAGTGGAGACAACCTGAGTGTCCACTGACAGGTGGATGGGTGAACACAATGTGGTCCATCCACACAGTGACCAGTGTTCAGCCATAGGAGGAGCAAGCACTGACACCTGCTATGACATGGGTGAGCCTTGAGGACGCTGTGCTCAGATACAGAAGGACAAATCCTGCAGGGTCCCCGCTCTGTGATGCATCCCAAAGAGACAAATCCATAAAGGGAGGGAGCAGATGAGTGTTGCTGGGGCCAGGGGGCTGGGGGATGGGGAGTGGCTACTGATGGGTCTGGGGTCTCGTTCGGGGTGATGAGAATGTTCTGGAATTAGCGGTGGTAGTTGCACAACTCTGCAAATATCCTAATGCCCACTGGACCGTGCACTTTAAATGGGTGAGTTGTACAGCACGGGAAGTATCTGCGGGAAGCCGGTACAAAATTCGCCCTCAGCTCCGTCCTGCCCGATCCACTGGGAAGCCACCCCAGGACCTCGCCAGGGCCCTGCCAGCCCCACCCTCTCCTGACCCACCCCCACGGCCAGCAGGGCATCTTCACTCCCCGCTCCTGCCTGAGTCTTTGCTCACACAGCACCTTCTCCACCCCCAGCCCGCTCCGGCCTGGTGAGGCCCACCTGGCCCCAGGCTCCTCCAGGACCCTCGTCCTGCTCCGCACTTTCTTTCTCTGTCTCCTATCTCCTATGACCCCATAGGTGCTCATCTAGCATGTCCACCTCTCTGCAGACCGCAGACCCCAGGAGGAAGGGTCCCAGCGCACCAGGGGGCACGCAGTGGGTGCTCCATTAATGCTTGTGGAGGTGGACTGACACCAACGGCGTTCCTTTGGACGCCCTTGGGGGCCCTTGAGGTTTGGGTCCTGGATGCTGAGGGGTGACCAGGGGAGGGCTGTGGGGGACCGAGGGGAGAGCACCAGGACACCCTGTCGCTAGGGCTGAGGCCAAAGGGAGGCCGGGTCATAAATGGGCCTCGCTCATGGTACCCAGCTTGCGCAAGCCCCCACAGCTCCTCCCCACCTCTCCCGTCACCGTCCCCCACAGCCCGGACAGAAGCGGACCACGGGGACAGCGAAGATGCAGCCAGCCACGCCTTGCCCTTCCCACCTTGCGCTCTTTCCATCTGTGCCGCGGGACCCTCCCATCCACACTCACTGGACAGAGTTGTAGCTGGAGAAGGAGATGAGGCCCCCAAAGGCCAGCGAGAAGGAGAAGAAGACCTGGGTCCCTGCGTCCAGCCAGGTGGTCGGTTTGGCCAGCTCCTCGACCTGCAGCCAAACAGAGATGCTCAGCTGGGGCCACAGGATAGGGCCCAGGAAACGAGGAGGGGTGGTCCTCAGGAGAGGCGTGAGCCCCCCAGCCGAGGCGCCCACCCGCTGACAGCAGAGGCCACAGGGCAGGGGGCATGGTTCAGGATGGACGACGACCCCTGGCGGGGGCAGCCGATTCCTCCCGCGCAGTAGCTGCCCTCTGTCCGTCCTCCCAGAGCCATGGTCAGGCCGACGCACAGCCCCTCGCAGGGACAGCACGCACGTCGGCCCCAGGGGAGGCCCACCCCCCAGCACGGCCTCTCCCTGTGGGGTCTGGCACCCAGGGCAGACAGTGGGATGCTCACGTTCGGTGTGAAGAGGAAGGCGATGCCGTTGGTGGCTCCCTTCAGCGTCAGGCCCCGGATGAGGAAGACGGTCAGGACGATATAGGGCAGCGTCGAGGTGATGTACACAGCCTGCGGACGGGGCAGACGTGGGCAGAGGGGCAGCAGGCCGGCGAGGAGAAAGGGCTGGTCAGGAGGACTCCACTCCACCCCTCCCCGACGCGCCCCTCGGCCCCCAGCTTCCTGGGCAGGGGGACCTAGCCTCACTTCCGTCTTCCGCTGTTCTGATGCTAACTGTGGCTGTCATTGTGATTACGTAATGATGACCACTTAGCTCCTCCCGCTAGACAGACATCATGCGTCACCCCTGCACATGGCGTTTAAAGTGCGTGCTTGAGAGCCGTCTGGGCTGGCACCGAGTCCCCAGGCCACCAGCCTAGGCGATCGGCAGTGCCAGGGGCAGCAGAGGCGCAAGGGGGCCGTGACCCTCAGAGCTGGTTACAGGTGCGGCCAGCCCAGGCATGCCCCTGTGAGCGCCCATAGCCCTGCCTGCCCGCACCTTCCCGGTGGTCTCGATGCCACGGATGGTGCACACGTAGAGCACACTCCAGGCGCAGGTCAGGCAGAGCAGGATCCACCACTGCACAGAGCCCGAGTCGTTGATGGAGGTGGAGATGTTGAGGGTCTCCCGGTACCAGAAGTAGTCCACGGGGGAGCTGCGGGCACACTCTTCCACGTAGTCTGGGGGATGGGCGCTTCAGTGTGTGGTCACAGAGAGTGGGAACCCACGGGAGGACAGAGCATGGGAAGAGCCACAGGGAATGCATGCTGTGCTCCTGGGGCTCTGACACGGGACGTGGCACACCATGTGCATGCACATGCACACAGACATGGGTGTGCACACAAGCATGCCTTACACAGCTACACACATGTGCACACACATACACATGTGTGCGCACACATCCACACTGACTCACATGAACATGTGCAGCATGCTGCACACTCACATGCACATACATGTACACACCATGCATAGGCACATCCACACATGCCATGTACACACGTGTGCACGAAGTGTGGCATGTGCACCCCTGGGCCTCAACCACCTGCCCTCTTGCTCCTGCTCCTGCTCCTGCTGCAGGCAGGTGGGAGCCCCAAGGTGTAGCCGGCAGCCAGCGCCTGGGCAAGATGCTCAGCTGCGCTGGTCACCAGTCTTTGGGGCTCCTGGCCGGGGTACACGCCAGGGGATTCTGTTCGCCCTACATGCTCTCACCACTGTGGGTCCCAGGGCCCTTGCTGCCCCTCTAGGCTCACGGAGCTGCACTGAGACCCTGCTCGGGGGAAGCAGTCTAGTCCTGGAAGACCCCCCACCCCCGGAGACTAGGAGAGTGCCCTGAACGGTCCCAAGTGCAGCAAGGGTGGCCCTGGGTTCAGGCCTGTCCCCTTCTGAGCCCACGAGGCCCATCCTGCCAGCCCGACCCCAGCACCTCTGCAGGGACCCATGCAGTAAACCACGCTGACCAGTCTCTGCTTGTAGGACCCGCAGCCCCAAACGGGCAGTGCACGTCCTGCTGCAGAGTGTAGAGAGCTGCCAAGCTGAGCACAGGTCCCCGTGTCCCCCCCGGGCCACCGGCAGAGGGTCTTCTCCCCACCGTTCTTCCCAGGGGGTGCAGAAGGGCCAGATGGCGAAGGGCGGGCAGCCCTGGCACACGCCTGTGGAGTCGAGACTCCGACTCCGGGGGACGAGGAGGGAAGGGACGGGAGGATGAGCACAGCATGCTGCATGGCTCCAGGAGCAGCCTTCTGCAGAAAGGCCCACACACACCCCGGCGGTGACCTGGAGCCCTGGTGTCCTCGCTGTGAGGCTGGGGATGGGTCTCCGTGTAATGCGGGGCCGTGGGCCCACTGCCCTGACTGGGGACGCTGTGGGAGGACCCCTGGAAGGGCCCGCTCCTCTCCTGCAGCGACCTCGGCTCCTCTGGAGGCAGCTTTCCAGGGCCTTTCTCTTGCACAGCGATTGTTTTATTGCTCTGTTGCCTTAAATTGCTCTGGTTCTAGCCAAACCTGAGCTATAACCGTGGGAAGTTTAGAAAATCGGAGGGCGACTGTTCACGGACCATCAGTCTTCCTGTTCGAAAGTGTGGGCAGCCCCACAGAGTCAGCCGACCCCCGACCCCCGAGCCCTGGCCCCCAGTCCCGCCCAGGCTCACCAGTCTGGTTCTCGTTGAGCGGGCACTGGCTCCACGGCAGAGGGTCCTGGAAGGAGTTGAAGAAGTACCACATGACCCAGGCAATGATGGTGTTGTAGTAGAGGCCCACCATGAGGGACACGAACATGGACGCGATGCCTGGGGGGACATCAGAGCTGGGGTCAGGGGTCAGTGCTGGGATGGGGGTCACTGCTGGGGTCAGGGGTTACTGCTGGGGTGGAGGTCACCACTGGGGTGAGGGGTCAGTGCTAGGGTGAGGGGTCACTGCTGAGGTGAAGGGTCAGTGCTGAGATGGGGGTCACTGCTGGGGTGAGATGTCACTGCCGGGGTCAGGGGTCAGTGCTGGGGTGAGGGGTCGCTGCGAGGGGACCCTCCTCACCAACTATATGTGAGCGGACAGGGGAGTACAGGAGAACAGGAGGACGGCCTCTGTGGTCAGCACCCCCTCCGGCTCCCTTGGGTGCTTCCTGGACCCTCCCCAGGCAGGAGTGGGGAACGCTGCTCTCCCCAAGTGTCCACACCCTCCCACATCCTGGGTACCTGGGGACTCAGGACGGCCTCTGCTGCCCAGCTGGTCCTGGTGGGCAGGATCAGCCCTGGCCTGGACTCTGCAGCCAACCCTCCCATGAGGCTCTAAGGAAGGGTTGGCATGGGCCTGGGTGGGGACAGGCCCTGGAACTCCCTCTTCCGGGAAATGGACGGGCAGACGGCAGGGAGCAGCTCTCACTGCCGCCACCAGGCCCAGGCGGGGGTTGCACCGAGGGGTACAGACACGCACCTACACCCTTCAGGATCGGGTGAATGGAGCTCCAGATGCCCACGCTCCCCTTCCGCAGCCTCTGCCCAATGGCAAACTCCAGGTACAGCAATGGCATCCCCTCCACGACCAGCAGGATGAGGAAGGGGATCATAAAGGCCCCTGCATGGGGAGAAGGCATCAACGTGGTCAGGTGACGGTGCCCAGGAGGCCAGAGGCTGCCTCTGGGGACACAGCTTCTGCAGAAAGTGTCTGCAGGACTTTGTCACAAATACAAACTTAGGAGCAGTGACAACCTCACTGCCCATGACAGCCATCAGCGTTGCAGAAAACAGCATCGCCTGCCGTGGAAAATTCTAGAGATGAGCAATCAAGGACCCAAGCTTCGAAGTAACAGCAAGACCCTTGGATTGGGGTCAGAGCTAATTCCACGTTCTAGAAGTCCTGCTTGGCAACTGGATGCAGGAGAATGTGAGTTCTCGCCTGCGCAAAGTCCAGTGTCCTTCAGACCTGACACAGCAGACACACGAGGAAGCCTGTCCCTGTGTGCCACTTTACAGGAAGGTGTCCCGGGTGCCCTGCAAGTTTATCCTATTTGTGAAGAACCATGTTAGTGTCTCTACATCTGTAATAATAGGAGGTAGTGTGATCTCAGGATGTTGGTCACACTCTGGGCCCCAAGGGGACAGCTCTAATTCAGGGCTGTTAGGAAATGACTTTGAAATGGGATGACATTTGGAGTTGTTTTGAAAGGGTGGTAATTCTGTGCCGGGGCTGGAGCAGGAAAAGTCGCCCAGATGGTGTGGGAACCAGGAGGGAGACAATGTCCTGTTGAAACCAAGGTTCATATTTGTCATTTAAATTGACTAGAAGGTTAAGTTAACCCTCGAATAAAGGCGATTATTTTAAAATAAATAAAAGATACAGATATGCTTACCCTAAAAAGGAAAAACGACCCGCTCTTCCTACAAAAATTAGATTTAATGCGTGGGACGCCTCTTGTAAAGAAAAGCCAGCACAGAGCGCAGCCACGTGTGGGTAGGTGAATGCACCTGCATTTCCTCACGATGTCTTTAGATTCTGTCTCTTTAGAGGGACTCAGGCTGGAGCCTGCGGGTCGGCCTCCTCTCAGAGCTCTGGTCAGCAGGCGCCCACCCAGGAGGCAGCTCTGAGGACATCCGTGCATTCAAACACGGCAGCATGTAAAGAAGCGCACATCACTCTGATGGCTCCCTCTTCTTGGAGGGACCCACCGACTCCCCATCTCAGCCACACGGGATAAGAGGGCCACCTCGGCAGACCACCACTTGTTTCATGGGGGCGCCTTGTGCCCCCTTGTCACAGTGGCCAGCTTGTCTGCTGACCCCACAAGCCCATGCCTGCCCCACAGGGTGGCACACAACAGTGCCTGGGTAGTTACAAAGGAGTCCACGCTGGGCAGAGCAGGCCCAGCGTGAGCCCCCTCTGGGGCTCCAAGTCCAGCCAGGAAGGCATGGACAGCACATGGAACCTTCACTCAAAGGTACAGAAAGGTCGGAGGGAGAGGCCATAGGAGCCTAGGGTCCAGAGGTCACCAGGACACTATGTATCAAGGGGTCTTCAATCTGAGCCTTAGGGACTCTGCTTAGGGACGTGGAGGAGCATCCTCCAGAACATTCTGCCAGGGGATGCAGGTGTGGTGCAGGGTCTGTCCTCTCTGCTCTCTGATGGACCCCAGGGCCCAGCCTGGTGCTGACCAGGAGCTCCGTGACCCCCTGCCAAGCAGAAATGATAGGACAGGGACTCAATGATGCCCCCTGGGGCCGAGGGAGCCAGCTTCCATGGCGAATCGGTCCCAGGTGGGGTGACCTGGGCTGGGCAGTGGAATCCCCTCCCTTCCGACATGATTCCCTCCGCCGGTATCCTCAGGCCCGCTCTGGCAGTTCCACGAGCCCCCGGGCCTCAGTGCAGGAGGAGGGTGAGCAAGGGAGGCCAGCAGAGGCACCAGGTCGGGGCTCCCAGCTGCTCCCTCCCGCCGGACTTGGGGCCAGCGGGAGATCTGAGAGTGTTTGAGGCACACACGGCACACGCAAGTCCTGAGCACAATCTACAGAGATAGCACAGCCGTGGTGACAAAGGTCGTGACCATTCAGTCAGGATGAAGCTCAGTAGCTGAAACTGGGCGATAAGAATTCAAAACAGAATTTATGGAAGAATTTATGGCTTCAGGACTTCAGCGCCGATTCAGGTCCCAACCTGATGGGGCCTCGCAGGCTGGGATCCCTGGACGCCCGTGAGCCATAATCACTGACTGGGATGCTCTCTCGCCAGAACCACCTCTTGATCCCTATTGGCCTGGGGAGATCCAGCTGTGGACCTGCCGAGTGGTGGGGGCCGCCCATATCCGCCACATCTCCTCACCACGACGTCCCCGGGTCTGTCCCTAGAAGGGGTACACATGACATCCCAGTGCCTAGAGCTGTTGCGCAGCCCCGCCGCCCAGCACTCAGTACCCTATCTCCCTGCTCAGGCTCCTTTCTCTCGTTTCTCCCTCCCCATCATTTTCCCAGAACCCCAGGCAACAGTCAGCACCACCCCGATCCTCCCCCTTTTCCGACACACTCCTGCTATTCATTCTCCACCAAACCTCTCAAACCCATCATTTCCACTCCATTGCCTGCCCCACACCTCCCCAGCTGGACCACTGCCTCCCACACAGGGCTCCTGGTCAGGGCTGGTGTCAGACCCTGAGCCAGAGGTCCTCAGTGGGGTGGCACTGTGTGTACACGAGTGTGTGTGTATGCGCACACAAGTGTGTGTATGTGCATGCATGGGTGTATGTGAATGTGTGTGCGTCTGCATGTGGGTGTGTGCACGTGTGTGTGTGCAGGTATGTGAGTGTGTGGGCACGTGCATGTCCACATGTATGTGCCTGCCTATGTGTGTGTGTGTTTGTGTCCTTGTGTATATGCATGCCTGGGTATATGTGAATGTGTGTGCATGTGTAAGTGAGTGTGTGCCCATGTGCATGTGCAAGCCCAAGTGCGCGTGTATGTGAGTGTATATGTGTGTCAGAGGGAGAGAGAGACTATGAGGCGGCGTGGGGAGGGCGGGAGGGCCATCCCGCCAGCCCGGCTCCACTTGTGCTGTTGGGTTAACTCCCTCAGCCTCCTCTGTCCCTCCTCCCTCCGTCATCTGTCCATCCCTGCGGTGCCCTCACAGTGAGACACTAGGCCCCCCGGGAGCCCAGCAGCCCCTCCGCCCCAAGGGCTGTCCTCTCCCAGGCCTCCACCCCAGGACTGCCCGAGGGAGCAGCTGGGCTGCAGGCCTCTCTCCCCAACCTGGGGCTCCAGAGACAGGTCTTTCTGAGGCTGGGGCTGCGAGTCAGGAGCTCCAGGAAAGCCAGGGCGTGGGCTGCAGGGGATGGGGAACTTAATGAGGTGAAAAGCACAGCGCAGTGGTGACCCACCTGCCCCCACCCCGCAGGAGGGCAGCGCCGACTCGTTCTCCCAGATGAGTGGGTTCCTAGCTCCTGGAGTCTCTCTCTCAAGAAGCTCCAGCAAGGCCAAGTGCCCCGGGAACACGGTCCTCTCTTTCTCACACCCGGCCGCTTCTCACTGTGATGCAGGGGGAGGAAGGAGGCAAGGATGGAGGAGGCAGGGCTGCAGGTCTCAGGAGGGAGAAAGCCCCATAACCGCCCGGTAGGCCTTGTGGGCACCTGGCCAGTTCCAAAGGTCCCCAGAGACGAGCCTCCTGGGCTGCCTCAGGAGCCATGGGCACGTGCTCCTGCACACCAGTGCACACCCGTGACGGAGGAGGTGGAAAAACCTTGCAAGAAGTGCGGATCTTTCTCTCTCTGAGAAAGTGGGAAACGAGGAGGAGGGAGGAGGAGGCAGTGGAGAGGGACGGGCAGGGGGCAGGCAGGGGAGGGGAGTTGCAGGCTCCGAGGGCGGCAGGTCCAAGCCTCCGAGTCTGTCTCTTGCACGTGGCGTTTGGCACAGGGTGGAAGCAGGGGAAAATGTGCTGAATCGGAAGGCACAGAGCCGGGCCCAGCAGAGAAATGCAGCCCCTGGAACCAGGCTGGAGGGGGGCCTGGAGACAGCAGCAGGGGAATGGCAGGGTCCTGGGGGGCTGCCTCCTCGGGGCTCCCCCACCCGCACCCCAGCTCTCCCACAAGCGCTGTCCCTGCGAGGGTGAGACAGGGTAAGGCGGGCACCAAGCACTGGGGGTAGTGCCCATGGGACAAGCCAGGGTGGTGGGGACACACATGGAGAATCACGCACGTGTGGAGAATCGCACACATGGAGAATTGCACGCGCGTGGAGAATCACATGCGTGGAGAATCTCATGTGTGGAGAATGCACGTTCACCCGCGTGCTCTCGGGCACATGGCAGATGCAGACCCGCTCAGTGCAGACCATCAGGTCCCCGGGACGTGGGGGTGTGGCTGTGGCCCGAGGCCTCCCACTGTCCCCTGAGGCCGACTGAAGACAGCAGCTCTCCCTAACCTGCACACCTCACGCCGCTCACAGTCCACCCTGAGCCACGTGAGATGCGCCCCACGCGAAGTCCCTGGAGGCCGCAGAGCTGGCGCTCAGGCAGGGAGACCCTCCCTGGGTCTGGCCCACCCTGCTCGCTCCCCAGGTTCTGCCCTTTCAGGCTGGCTGGCTGTCGCCTTGAGGCAGACTGATGCCGGGGGACGTGACAGCCCAGAGCCCGTGGTGCTGCCTGTGATCACAGCTCCTGGTGGGAAGGGACAGAGAGGAGGCCTAGGAACTGGGCAGCTTGTCCAGGGTCTAGAGATCAAGACCCAGAAGAGGGACCACCCTGAGGCCTGGGCATGAGGGCCCCTTCCTGCACTTGCGAGGGCCCTGCTCTGAGTACCTGCCTGAGGCCCGCCCGCTGGAGCCCAAGCCCAGGCCCTAACAGGCCACACTCAGGGGACGAGGGCCCATGTCATCCAAATGGGCCAAGTCATCAGGCCAGTGTGGCCCCTTCCCTGGTCCCCCTACGGGGCAACCTGCTGGCTTGCACCCCAGGTCGGAGGTTGATGGGACCGTCAGAGATGGCTGTGCAGGTGGGTGATGACAAGGCTTGGGTGTGGGGCTGTGGGTGCACACACACGTGAGCACGTACGTCTCCCAGAAATGTGGATGGAGCAGGGGGAGGGGAGATGGGGTGGCGTGGAAATCTAAACCAAAGCGAGGCCTTCCAGACCATGGACCGGTCAGAGTGGAGGACAGACAGAGCAGTCCTTGCTCCGAGGGGCCTCATCTCCATGGCCAAGGGACAGAAGGCCGTGGTATTCCAGCTCGCAGAGGAGGAAGCCCTGACATCAAGCCCATGCTGACAGGTGGCTGTGAGGAGGGTGGCCACGGGCTTTCCCGCTGCCCAGAGGACAGGTCGGGAGGAGCTGGGAGAAGAGATGGCGAGGGAAGACGGAATTCCCGATGCAGGACCGCCCTGCCACACCAGGCCATCCTCCTCTCCTGGCAGTCCCCTCCCTGACCTCCTGGGCCCCCAGAAGAGCACAGGGAACTTCTCCTAACACCAGAGCAACCAGGGCACTTGCCATCCCCACATCTGCTCCCGTTCCTACCACGGGGCTTCTGAGCCCCCAGGCTTCCAAGCCTCGCCTTGTGCCCGTAGGCCCGCTCTGGGTCAGGGCACGGGTAACCCTGTGCCCGTGTCCTTTTGTGGTGTGGCTATGACAGGGGACATGCCTGAGGTGTGGATTGTCCCTCAGTGGTTCACAGATGTTTGCTATTTGTTGAAAGCAAATTCACGAAACCTCAGAAACAAGCAAAAGCAAGAAGGACCGGCCTGGGAGGCCGCGGTGTCTCCCGCCCCCTCCTCCCTGAGATGCTGGCCCTCAGAGAGCTCCAGCGGTCAGGCCTCCTACGGGACCAAAAGCTACGGCATGCATACCACCTGCCACACAGTCACAATCAATATGCTACATGCTGCTGATGGTTGAATCTAAGTTGTGGGAATACGGGGCTTTACTGGAATTTTCTCTACTTTTCTGGGGTTTTTTTTCATAACATAAAGTTAAAACTAAAGTAAATGATCACTTGTTTTGCTTTTCGAACTACCCAAAACGCCCCGAAATAGTCGGAAGCAAATTAAGTTTTCAGCAAATCAGGACTGGTCCCCAGGGTCCTCAGACTGTCACTTTCCCTTCAAGCGACACAACCGCTCCCCTCCCCCACAGCTGAGGCTCAGGGAGGGGACGTCCCTGTGAGGGGTCACCAGTCACTGGCCGCCTGTCACCGTCCTCGTTGATTGTCTCCTGGGCTTGGAGGACAAGATGCTCAGCTCCTGGCCCCAGGGCAGGCCGGGGCGGGGGACCGTGGGGGGCTCTCTGGGTGGGTGCAGGTAGCGGGGCATGGGGCAGGAGAGGAATGGGCGTCCTGGACCGGACAGAGGGCGAGCCACCACGGGGGAGGTGGGGAACAGCAGCCTTGCCCAGGAAGTCTGGGGCTGGACCTCCCCCTCGCCTCCTGGAGCTGACAGAGCCGGGTCCCCCGAGATTTGCTGCCTGTTCCGGGACCCAGGGTCGGCTCCCACTTCCTGGGGTGATGCGGACAGTCTGTCCTCAGTGTCTGGAGGCAACATTCCCATGCTGCCCCTTCGACTTCACGGCGAGTGTGCGGCTGCACCCCGGGAACCCCGTTTCCCGTGGGTGGATCCTTCTCCGTCAAAGGGCCCCGCAGCTCGTGGAATTTTCGGTCTCCATCGTTGCTCTGCTCAGGGGCGTTGAAGACTTTAAAGTCCCTTCAGCATGTTCCTGGCTTCTTCCCCAGCTCTGGTCCTTCCAATCCCTCTCTCCTCAGGGGACCCAAGAAGGTCCGTCCCACGAGGCCCAGGGCTCCTGCACCCCACCAGGGCCCAGCGCAGTGTGCGTGGTGGCCTCTCCTCCCTCTCCCTCTGGCTCCTTCCACCGGGTGAGGAGGAAGTCCTGGTGTGCTAGCTCCCCCTGAGAACCAAGCCGGCGCTGCCCGGGCTGCAGAGCGATGCTGGGCCCCTCCCCCTGGACGGCCCTGGGGGGACATGACCAGGAGGTTCCAGAGGGAAGGAGTGGTCAGCCTCGCTGGGGCAGCTGGGAGGGAGGACTCGGGGACTGCCAGTGACCCTACTGCTAGGCGACCCGACCTCGAGGGCCCCGGGGTCCCCTGCTCCACCCTCTGCCCCCAGCACGGAGACGGCAGCCAGCATCTGGGAAGTACAGGCTGGACCAGAGGCGTGTAAGACACAGGCTTCCAGACAATCTCCAGTCCGTGTCGGTGCAGGGTCACAGGTTGACCCGGGATGACCACGTCTGCTGTTCCTGGGGACGCTTTAGGTCAGAAAGCCAGGGTGACAGCCTGCAGGTCTTCAGAGTTAGACAGGAAACGACGCCTCCTAACTAGCATCACAACAGTGCGAATGTCCCCTAAAAGCCACGGAACCGTCTGCCAGGAGCGGCTCCAGAGCATCCAGCCAGCTACTTGTAGAGCCTGTCTCTGAGCGAGCACAGCCCCACCCCAGACCTCCTGCCCTTTTACAAACGTAGCCCGGGGTCCCCAGTCCCCATGCTGGCTCAGCTTCTGGCACTTTCCTCTGCAGCTGGGGTGAGGAGGCAGCCTCGACCCTGTGCTAGGAGACCCTGGGCTCCAGGCAAGGCCCTCGGAGGCCTCTGGAGGTGGCAGGACAACAGAGGCCAGCGTGTCGTGGGGGACCGGCTCCCTCGCCTCTGCACTGTGTGCCCAGGACCCGCCCACATGTTGCTCTGTGGGTCACCTGCTCCCAGCCAGCTCCGTCCTCTGTCCATCAGGGAATGTGGTGCCTGCCTGCGGGGTTGGCACATGAGTTGATGCCCAGGAAGGGCTCAGCCTGGCGCCCTGTGGTGGACGTGCAAAGGACTGGCCCTATGCCCCTTGTGCCGGCACTTTCCACGCTCCACCTGGAGGAGTGGCTGGTTCCTCTGTCTCCCCGGTGCCCGGGTCTATTTGTTCTCTGGGAACAGGGCAGGGCTCCTGAGTCCTGGAGTGTGGGCGGCCTCTCCAAGCCCGACTCACCGGCATTTGGACACCTGGGCCGGGGCAGTGGGCCTCTCTCGCCAACCCCTGTGGCCAGGAGCAGACTGCAAATGTCGGCGCCCGGGCCACTCCTGCCCAGCCCCACCTCTGCCCGGCCCTGCCCTCCGTGCGGACATGGGGGCTCAAGTCTGTGATGAAGATGGCAGACACCTGCTGGGGTGGACGGCACAGGTGTGCACCTGCCTGCCCACAGCCCCTGGCACCCCAGACTCCTCCCCTCTGTGAATGGGGTGCCGGGATCCAGGGGGGCCATCCGTGGTGTTCAGCCCTGCTCTCCACCCTTGTCTGCTGCCCAGGCCTACCTCCACCATGGCTCTGGCACAGGTACGGGAAACGCCACACGTTGCCCAGGCCCACGCAGAAGCCCACGCAGGTGAGCATGTACTGGGCCTTGTTGTCCCACTTGGGCCGGGAGCTGGCCTCCTCCTCCTCGATGCTCTCCAGCTGGTCCAGGGACAGGATCCGGTCCTCCAGGCCCGGGTTGGGCAGCACGAGCCTCACCATGGTGGCCGCCGGGCGGTGCCTCAAAGCTGCAGCAGGCCAGGAGCCGGAGGGTGAGTGGCCACAGCCCAGAGCCCCAGCACTTTATAGGGAACCTTTGGTACCTCACCCCAGCACCTGGGCTAAGAGTTAGCGTCAGCAGATCTGGAGGGCGAGTCCGTGGACTGTTAATGCCTTATCTGCTGAGGCGCCGCCGACCCTCTGAGGCTCAGCCAGCGCTGCCGGCCCCTCCCCCTGTGCAAACGAGATGTTCCAGGTGAGCCGCCCCCGCCCACCTCCGCATGTGCTCCAGGGGCCAGACTCCCGGGAGGAGGAATCCCATGGCCCTGCCCAGCTCTGCAGGATGCTGGTTCTCCCCCAGACCCTGGAGTCTCTGTCCACTGGCTGTGCAGCCCCCACTTGCAGAAGGGGGCCACCGAGGGCCCCCTATCCCCAGCTCTCTCTGCCAGTGGGCTGACAGCTGGGGCATCACTGACCCCCAACCTAGTCCCTCACGTGAGTGGAGCCCCAGGCCCTGGAGCAGTCCCCTGCCCTGTTCATACTGAGCTCGGAGCCACTGGGCCCCTCCAGGCCTGAGCTGTGGGCTCTAAATAGCTCCTCAGAGAGCCCCAAGGTCCTACCAGCATAGGGGCATCCAGAGCTGCCTCAGAAACGCATGCATCCAGGCTGGGCCCTCGGGACCCAGGACGACCTGCAGGGCGCCCATCCCTGTGGGCTCCGTGGGGCTCCGGGAGTGGACTGTCCTCAGAACCATCATCCTGCTGGCTCCTAGGCTCCCCTGAGGCTGCAGGACTTCAGTCCTTCCTCCGAGCACTGTGTACAGGGCAGCCTCAAGCTGGACATGAGGGCCGCGGTGGGAGACAGTGTCCCTGCCCCAGAGCAGAGGGGTCAGGCAAGGAGACCCAGGGAAACCAGCACCATGTCCAGAGAGTGACATGGCCTCTGAGGTGGCCAAGGTGGTCACGAGATGGCAGCCAGCCTGACCTTGAGTCTGGGGACAAGGAGAGAACCCCACCTGGGGGTCACGTCTGAGTGGAGACCGAGGGCAGAGGGGGCCCCCCAGTGCAGGTTCTCATCCTGGTCCTGAGCTCAGTGATCCCGCCTGCCGGCCGCCTTCTGTGGGTTAGTGACCATGTGCCCCTATCCTGCTGAGGGGCCTTTTCCCAGCCTCCGTCGAGCCTTTGGGGTCAGCTGTCCACAGAGCCCTCCTGGCCGCCTGGGCTCCACATACTGCCCCCGTCTGCGTCCTCCCATCCCCAGGCCTTCCCAGGACAGACTCTGTCATCCTGGCTCTCGGCTTATTTATCTTATCAGTGGTCGGTGCTGCTGGACAGTAACGTCCCGGAGGCCAGGCTCTGTCTGCCCCCTGGACCCCCACCGCACGCGCTGAATAACCCAGGGAAGGCGGGGCTGGTCACTCACAGGGAGTGAGCTCAGGGGCCCAACCTTTGCCCCCAGACAAGAGGGAAACTGGGGAGACTGGAGCCTGAAAGGAAGAGGTCAGGTTTACACTTAGGGACATCTGTCCTGAGGCAGACGGACCGGAGGGCAGGGCAGGCCACAGGGAGGCCAGCACAGAGAGAGACAGAGACAGAGAGAGATAGAGAGACAAAGAAACTAAGAGAGAGACAAAGAGAGACAGAGACAGAGAGGCAGACAGAGATAAAGACAGAGAGACAGGGAGACAGAGAGACAGAGACCAAGAGATGGAGACAGAGAGACACCAAGAGAGACAGAGATAAGGATATGGAGAGACAAAGAGAGAGAGAGACAAAGAGACAGAGAGAGAGAGAGACAGAGACAGGGAGACACAGAGAGAGAGATAGAGAGATAGACACAGAGAGATAGAGACAGAAAATACAGAGACAGAGAGAGATAGAGAGACAGAGAGATAGAGACAGAGACAAAGAGATAGAGAGAGAGAGAGACAGGGAAACAGGCAGAGGGGGGAAAAGGGCGGAGGGAGGCCATGGCTGGCCCAGGCCCGGGGGTGGGGACGGGGGAGGCACAGTCTGGAGACAGGGAAGAGGTGTTGCCTGGACCCCAAGGGCCACCAAAGGAGGGGAGTCTGGGGAGGCGTCCCATCCTGGACAGCTGCCCACAGGAGACAGAGGTGCTGAATTGCGGTGTGGGGAGGGTCCCTGGCCCGTGGGCCCCGCTGGCTCGCCTGGGCTTTGCCGTGGGTGTGCCGGGGCTTCCTCCTGGCTGCTCCTTCTGGAGCTTCTGCAGAACAGCCTGGGAGTGGCGGAAAGCTGGACTTGGACCCACATTCGGAGGAGCTGAGGAGACTCCCGCAGCCCCAGCGGCACAGCTGTCGGCCCTGAGGCCAGTGTCCTGGTCTGTGAAACACAGGCTTAACGTCCAGCTCACAGCTGTGTCCTGAGAAAACACTGGAAGGGGCACGTGGCAGACGGAAGGCCTGGGGCCCACGGACCAGGGCGCCGCTGCTGGGGGCGGACTCAGTCAAGGCCCCAGAGCTCGCTCCAGCCTGACACAGGCCCAAGGCCCCATCCTCACGCTGTCTCTCCCTTCGCACTCGCATTAACAACTCTTATCACGAAAGAAACACATGCTCAACAAGGAAAACTGAGAGTCTGCAACCCGCAACGGGAGACGAGCGCTGACAGTTTTCTCGTCCGTGTGCGGTCTCGTGAATGTGTCTGCGTGGGAGACGCACTCACACTCTCGCCGCCTGAAGTTACACTGTCCACGCGTGATTTGTACTTAGCATTATGACGGAGAATTTTCCTTTCATTGAATTTTAATTTTTTATTAAACTTTCTCTCAAAGGTCACTTGATGTGGGACGTCACGAGTATTCAGTGTGGTACACAGCAATTTACACAGAATACTTCAGTGACGTGGCACGTCTCTGCCATTTTCATTTTCCCCGTTATGAATATTGCTGTGACAAATGTGTTTGAATACACGTCTTTTTATGATTGTCTTAGAGGCTGACGAAGTTTCATAGAGTGGGCACGTCCACGTAACAATCGCCAGATCAAGAGACAGAACATTCCAGCACCCACAGGCCCCTGCTCCCTCCCAGGCACTACCATCCTCCCATGGTGCCCATGTGGCTGGCCTCCCCGACCTCGGGTCCCGGCGTGGAGCCCCCCGGCCTCCCTGGTCACCCCACTCCCAGCTCCCCCTGGCACTTCGCTTCCTTCCCACACGCTGCGCCACATGTGCTTGTGCCGTCTCCTCCCCACGAGACTGTGAGGCCCACAGGCGGTCTGCACCCCCTGGTCCCGATCCCTCAGCAGGGAGACGTTTGTGGGGTCCTGAGGCTCTGTTCCTCACAGCATGCCGAGGGGTCTCCCCAGTGTGGGGTGCACAGTCCATCTCTCCCTCTTGCTGTTGCAGGACAGCATCCAGTCTGTGCCATTCCCGTGGGAGCCACTGTGATGGCGGCTCCTGTGTCTTGGGGCTCTGGGGTCAGGTCCCAAGCCCCAAGTAGAACGGCTGCCTCCTCGGACTGCACGTGCCAGGTTGAAAGATGCTGCCAAATGGGCTTCAAGAGCTGTTGAGCCTGTCGCTCCCACCCGTGGGAATGCTCCACGGCCTCCCCAGCGCAGGGTGATTGGTGGCCCTGGGGCAGCACCACAGGAGCCGCATCTGGCACGTCCACAGGCCATCGGCTGTCCTCTCCCGAAACGCCCCTCCAGACGTCCTCTTCTGTTGGGGTGCAGACTCCTTCCCGCTAATTTTCGGGACATCGGGCTGTGTTCTGGGGTCCAGGGCTGCACGAGCATCTGCCTCCCTCAGTGGTGTCTCTGACGACAGAAGCTCTTCGTTATCGTGTTGTCCGATCACTGATACCTTGGAGAGATCTCTGCCCACCTCAAGGTCAGAGGCACCCTCTTAGGTTGGACTCCAGAAGCTTCACTGCTTGACCTTAGACATTTGGAACTGTCTGAATGAGCAGTGTCTTGTGTTTGGATGTCCGCACGATCCGGCACCATTTGCTCAGAACATCGCCCTTCCCGCTCCCGAGGGCTGCCGCGGCCGCACGCCCCGCGCCCGTCCGTGTGCTGTCTCCCTCGTCCCGTGGCTCCGTGGTCCTTCTGCCAGGGGCACGGGGTCTCAGCTCCCGTAGCTTTATGACAGGTCCTCATGGCCGAGGGTCCACGTCTCCCAGCTGTGTTCTTCTTCAAGAACGTACACATTTTGGGATAAGCTTGCAGGTTTCCACAGAAACCTGCCGGGATTTTGACTGAGACGTGTTAAATCCGTAGACCTGTAGATCAGTTTAAATGGAATCTTCACAATGTTGAGCTTTTCAAACCATAACCCTAGTACATCCCTCCATTAATTTAGGTCCTTTTCTCAACAGCGTTGACAGTTTCATGTGTGGTGGTCTTAAAGATCTTTTTTTTTCATTAGATTTATTCTCAGGTATTTGTTTTTTTATGCTACTGTGACTGGTATTTTTTTTTAAATGTTTATTTAACTGTGTATTGCTGGTGTATATAACAATGCAATTAGTTTTTGTATGTTGACCTAATATCAAAATTTTTTCTAATACTTTTAACCGTTGATTTTTAAAAGAATTTTTTTTTTTAAAGATTTTATTTTTTTCCTTTTTCTCCCCAAAGCCCCCCAGTACATAGTTGTATATTCTTCGTTGTGGGTCCTTCTAGTTGTGGCATGTGGAATGCTGCCCCAGCGTGGTTTGATGAGCAGTGCCATGTCCACGCCCAGGATTCGAACCAACGAAACACTGGGCCGCCTGCAGCGGAGAGCACAAACTTAACCACTCGGTCACGGGGCCAGCCCCTTTAAAAGATATTTTTAACTCAAAATTATAAATTTTGAAAACAGCAGTTTTAGTTAATCTTTTCCCATCCTGTTACTTTCTATTCTTTTGTTTTTCTGCCACATTGCGTGGTGTCCAGCACAGCGCTGGACAAAATTGCTGACAAGAGGCGTCCTTGCCTTGTTCCTGTCTTTTGAGAAGCTCTCGATATTTCCCCTTCGGGACCAGGGAGTGCAACGGACACTTTCGTACAAACTCTTGTCAGACTAAGGAGTCTCGGTTCCACCCTTGGTGAACCAGGAGGTTCTTCTGTCTTTTTGTAACAGCTTTATTGAGCTGTAATTGTCACAATGTACAACTCACTCATTT